GGCCATCTTGGACGAGACAAGTCCTGGAAAGATCAGAACAGCCACAGATGCCTGACAGAACTACGGAGATAAAGGTGTGGATACTCTTTTTTTTCGTATCTGTTTATTGGCCTCTTGCTGTCTGCACACCTCCATTCTGGTGACTAGAGGGGGTGCCTGAGTGAGTGGACACCTTACACCTACCCCACGAGGGTTCTATTACGCATGCGCACAGATCTCCTCAAAATTTAAAGAGACGGTTTCCACTTAAAACCAAACGGCAGCGCAAAACAGCCACAGCTGGCCCTGAACTGTTTATCACTAGGAAAAAGGCCTAAACAGGGGTTATGAAACAGGATAGGCAGACTGAAAAGGGAATAAGCCAAAAATTAAATCCTGAGTCCACAGAGGAGATAGTTGAAGAACTCGTGGAAGAAATAACCAATAACCAACAGTGGTATTTTGAAATTTCTCAGGAAGAAGAGTGAAAAGGGAAGCCTATCTCCTGATCACATCTACCTGGAGGCAATCAGAAGGCATGAAAAATACCAAAACACACACCCATCCCAGTATTAAGGCCATAGCTAACCACTGAATATTCCCAAAAAACAGAAACAGACAATCATATCAGCACATGTCCAGAAACGAGATAAAATGACGGAGGCAAATGAGCTGGAGGTAGACCTACACTCCATACTGGAAGGAGGGTAGGGTTTGGAAATGCCTGAGAAGGAATTCAGAAAAATGATTTTATAAAATGTATCAAAACACTTTACAATAGGGTTGAGAAAAATAAAGAAGAAGTTAGGAAAGCACTACAGGAACAATCAAATAAGACAGATACAGCACTGGAAACAATTCAAAACCTACAGAAAGAGGTCCAAACGATTAATAATAGAATATCAGAAATGGACAATACACTGAAAGGGCAAATAAGTAGAACTGAAGAGATGGAAGCCAGAACTAGTGAGCTGGAAGATAATCTCTCAATAGCACTAAGACAGAAGAACAAGCATAAAAAAAGATGAAATATCTAAGGAAGTTCTAAGATTCATAATGCACAACATGAAGAGGAATAACTTAAGAATTATCAGCATTCCAGAACTGAAGAATCACACAAGTCCACAGAGGAAATAGTTGAAGAATTTCTGGAAGAAAATTTCTCTAACAACCTGAACAACGAAAAGATAAGCATCCAAGAAGCTCAATGAACCCCAGGAAGGATAAACCCTAAAAGAAAATCACCAAGACATATAATAATCAAGCTCCCCAAAATCAAAGATTAGGACAGAATCCTGAAGGCAGCTAGGGAAAAGAGAAATATAACATACAAAGGCAAGAAAATCAGACTAAGCTCAGATTTCTCAATAGAAACCATGCAGGCAAGAAGGCAATGGGGAGACATATATAAAACCCTGAAAGAAAAGCACTGCCACCCAAGAATCCTCTACCCAGCAAAGCTGTCAAGCAAATACAATGGTGTTATCAAAACATTCCAGAATAAACAGAAGCTAAGGGATTTTGCCAAAACCAACTCTGCAATGAAAAACATCCTAAAGGGTGTTCTGTGGACAGAGAACCAACAAGAACAGACAACAACCAGAGATTGACGTATGTGGCTCCATCACCCGGAAGTCAATTGACAAATGGAAGAGTCGAGAACAGAATAAAACTATAAAAACAAATTTAGCATATCTGGGAGGTCAGTCTATGATCAAAACAATTGCAATGTGAAAGAAGGTAAACACAGAGAAACAGAGATCTAGGTGGTGGGAAGGCAGGTAGATTATAGGATAAAATACTGTTTTAAATAGAGGGAAAAGTTAATGGAATATAAGGTGGGGCTTTAGGGGAGATGGAGTTTCAGGGGATGTGGAGGGAGGCGATAGTAGAGCACAGGATAAGGACAGACACATCATGTTTCGCGTGTTGTGGAGGGCAATACAAGAAGGGTGAGGAGGTGGAAGAACAAGGTAGATAGGGGAACACACTGGGGCAGGTTTGCATGGGCTAAGTGGGAAAGAGTTAAATAGTGATGCGTGCTTAAACTTGGAACAACAGGGCTCTGTGATACAGAGATCTAGGCATAGTTTGAAGAGGGGAATTAACACTAAGATGCTTGACTGTGTGTTTCCTTTGAGTTTCAGTCTTAGAGGGGAGTTTGTCCTGAAGGAACTTGATTGCTTGCTTTGATGGCTTCCAGGAGAACAGCTTGCTTATTTTTGTAGTAGCCAGTCATGCTGACATTTTTGTTTGGGGTTTTTCCTGATAATCTTTCTTTGAAGATGTATCTTCTGTTGCTCTAGCTGTTCCAGGCTATTCTGCTTGTCCTTGCTAGTGGAAATGTCCCACGTCATAAGGTTCTGGATAGGACTCAGGAGTCCACCTAAGGTCCTATACTCTGCAAAGGCTTTGCATGAGGTCTGATTCACTGGGCAAGTTCTAGAACCCCTTTTAGGTATTCCAATCAGTTATAGGCTGATTACAAATTTTTTGTAATCATGTTTCCCAACATTCCTATCTATCCTACTCAACTGTCTATTTTACAATAGTAGGCAACGGAAACCAATATTCATAAGACAGTCAAGCATTTTAGTATTATTTCCCTCTTCAAACAGATCCCTGTATCACAAAGCCACTGTTGAACATGCATCACTATTTACCTCTGTCCCACTTAGGCCATGCAGTGTTCCCCTATCGATCTTTTTCTTCCTACTCCTCCCCCTTCTTGTATTGCCCACCCCAACATCCAAACTAAACCCCGCACCCAACCCCACTGGTGTGGTTACCTTATATTCCATTAACCCTTCCCTACATTTAAGACAGTAATCTACCTAACCTTCTCACCACCTGGATCTCTGTTCCTCTGTGTTTACCTTCTTTCATATTGTAATTGTTTTGATCATCAACTGACCTCCTGGATCCTCTGTTCTTATAATTTTTTTTTTCCCTCCAAGTTTTTATTGTGGATTGAGTGTAAGTTTACAGGGCAGATCATAAGTTTTACATTCAACAAATCATACAACTTGTTTTATCATTCCCCTTCATGTACCATCAGTTAATAGTATTTCTCTCTATTCACTTTAGCTCTTTTTTTTTTTTTTTTAACCTAGCCTTGATGGCTTGATAATCAGAACTCGACTAGAGGAAGCTTCCCCCCGCCCCCCCAAAAACAAAGAATTTTTTTTTTTTTAATAAAGGAAACAAGGGTAAAGTGCTACAATTTGATGAACCTGACCTATACTCATGGAGGTAGTAACTCTAAATACCAACAGAGAGGGAAGGAGTCTTCACATCAAGTTATCAGTGCTATCCCCTCTGTACACAGGGTAGATAGGGACAGGCAGCTTAGACATTGGCTACCAAAAATGAGGGGGCGATAAAGGCACGAAGTGACTGGCTTACAAGGTTTCAAGAGGAAGTTTAGTTTTAAGAGTGTGGTGAGGGAGAAAGTGTCCCCACTGAATAATTTTCATCTTGTCTAGATGGGTCTGCTGAAAAGAAACGGGGATAAGATTTGTATGATTTAAGTTAAGTTAAGTGCCGTCGAGTCGGTTCCGACCCGTAGCGACCCTGAACAGGGTTTCCGAGGCTGTAAATCTTTACGGGAGCAGATCGCCTCATCTTTCTCCCGCGGAGCAGCTGGTAGTTTCGAACTGCGGACCTTGCGGTTCGCAGCCGGATTCGTAACCACTACGCTACCAGAGCTCCTTATTTAATAGTGAATAATTGTTATCATGACTAATTGCAACTGTCACAATAATAAAGGTAGAAGTTTTATAACAAAAACAGGGGAGTGGTTAATCTTACAGTCCATAAACAGAGGACCCTAGGACCATCAAGAGAGAAGAGCACAAGCAGAATGCGGGACTTTATCCAGAGAAGCACCAGAGACAGAGGCAGAGATGGTGTCATCCAGAGGGGAAGAGGCTGGGGACTCTAGATTTGTGGGAAGAGAGGGTCTAAGAACTGGTGACCAGGAGGCAGATTTGCAGAATGTGCCTTTTGGAGGTGTAAATTATTATACATGCCTGAGTTTTTTTGTTTTTTAAAGCTAAAGTGAATAGAGAGAAATACTGTTAACTCATGGTACATGGACGGGATTATAATCATTGTAATGAAACAAGGTGTATGATTTGTTGAATGTAAAACTGATGATCTGCTCTGTAAACCTTCATTCAGTTCACAATAAGTTTAAAATTTAAAGAGATCTTGGTCTTTTGGGTGAAATATTTAAGAATCAATGGGGAAAAAATCGGAGAAATTAAATATCTTAACAAGAAATGCCCGCATTCTGCCTCGCGCTTTCGGTGGATGGCACTTGGGGTTTTGTGTATTGCGGTGAGGCGAGTGTTTAAATCCCTTGGCGGTCGCCATTTCCAGAACAGACTTCTGTGGGAGGGGAATGCGTTAGAAACCTTGTCCAAGAGGGACTAGCGGGGATTGAGACCACTGTTCCAGCACAGGAAAAAAAAAAAAAAACGTTTCGCGCTATTTGGGACCCGGAAATAAATTTATTTCTGAAATCTTTCCACATGCAAGGAGGCGGGTCAGAAGTCTATCCCGAGCTCGAATTCGAATCCTCACTGGGTAAAATCCATAGAACTGGCTTTGTATTGGCTAAAATCTATGGAGCTGGGCGGGGGCCTGATTTCATCTTGACGCTTCATTGGCTAAAAATTGCCTTGATTTCAGGTTTTCATTGGCTAAAACTGAGAACTGGGATGTGCTATACAATTCTCCTTTGCTAGCTCCTGAGAGAGACAGGCCTTTGTCTCACCCTTTTGGCTAATCTTTATTTTAAACAAAAAGTTGAGGGCGTGGCTTTCGTTCTCCCGAATCCAAGAGGGTTCCTTTCGGGCGTCTGCTCTCATGAGGACTTCAATGATCGCTGAGCCCGCGGATTAAGGGAGTAGAGCATAGGTGGAGACCGGAACTATTACTTCGCGGAACCTTTAGGGCGAGGCTTCAGGGAGCGTGTTGAGGGACGATTTACGACTGGACTGGCCACACACGCAGGAATGGCGACGAAGGTTGCTCCTGGGGCTGCGGTTCCCCTGGAGTTACGGCGGGAGCGGCCCATGGTTTGCGTGGAGTACCCGGGCGTAGTGCGCAACGTGTCCAAGATGCTACCGACTCTGGGCGGCGAGGAAGGCGTCACCCGGGTAAGGAGCGAAGAGTCTAGAACAATGGAGAGGGACCCAGTCTCGGGAGTCTGGCTGGAGGGACGGGACTGCCGGGAAGTGTAGTTTCCTTGACAACGGGTAGCAAGGCGGGCGCTGGGCGGCCAGTGGGCAGTCGCTTTGCTTTTGAGATCCCCTGCAATGGACTGTTTTAAAATTTGGGAGCAGTGAGAAAAGGACGGTGGGAGGGGCTGGGGGTCTTTTCCATCTCATCACCAAATATGAACTGCATCCTCAGCATCCTTGCTATGAATGCCCTCCAGTCACGTAATAGGAAACAGGCATAGAGCGATTAAGAATTACTGACAGGATGAGAGGAGGATGGATTATATTACTAAGTGTTACGAGTAGTAATAGCTGACATCTGTGTGTCAGGTTTGGTTGTAGGAACGTTATTTATATTTGATCCTCATTAGAACTCTACCTGTTGTGGTGGTAGTGGTGGTTATGTGCCATGCAGTCGGTTCCGACTTGTAGGACCCTGTATAGGCTGCAAATCTTTACGGAACCAGAAAGTCTCATCTTTCTCCCTTGGAACTGCTGGTAATTTCGAACTGCTAACCTTGAGATTAACAGTGTATTCAAGATCAAGCTCCCTGAGTGTATTCAAGTAAACCGTGTGTGTGAAACTGATAGGAGCTTTTAGTTGGTTCATAAATGCTCTACATGTAACAAACCCTTAAATGCCTCCAATAGAGCCCCAGTCATTGGTCATTCATGGTTTTTTTAATATATATATATACAAATTTAACCGCTTCCATTACAGCTTTGACGGGACCCTTGGCTTTACTAACCCTAAGGGTGTCTGTACCAAACTGCAGTGTGAGCTCTTTGGGAAGGGACCTTGACATTCATTCATTCATGTCACTCATGTTCTTGAACACCACCCTTGTGCCTGGCCCACATCTAGGTCATTCCCACCCTACTGGGTCTCAGAGAAGAGGATTCCTGAGGACCCCTTGTAACCTTCATTCCTTCCCTAGGTGTTTCCTAAGACTTGGCCTTGTCCTGGGTGTTGGGGGGCCAGCAGGTAGATGACCTTGCTGCAACACACATTGTTGATAATTTCATATGCACACATCTAATGCTCATTTTGCCACTTTTACGTGGTGTGGCCCACACATTCACAATGTATTTTCCATGAATTTCTCTTTGTTTTAGTGCCTCCCATGAAGTATTGCCAGATAAGTTGTATAATGCCCCAATCTGACCAGGCACCTTAAAAGGAGGTCTCTACTTAACTGTTGTTGTTACTGTTATAAGTGCTGTTGAGTTGGTTCCAGCTTCTTGTTGTTAAGTGCTGTTGAGTCAGTTCTAACCCATTGTGGCCCTGTATGGGGTTTTCAAGGAGCGGCTGGTGAGTTTGAACCACCGACCTTGTGGTTCAAACTGACATTGCAGTCCAGCACATTAACCCACAGTGCCGTACCAAGACTCCTCCAACTCATAGCAATGCTATATATAGGGTTTCCAAGAAACAGCTGGTGGGTTTGAACTGCTAACCTTGTGGTATTTAGTCCAGTGCTGATCCCACAGTGCTATAGTAGGTGTCATTTCCAACTTTATAGTGCTCTGGTGGTGCTGTAGGATAAGCATTGGACTGCTAGCTTCAAGATCAGTGGTTCAAACCTACCACCCTCTCCACCGAAGAAAGATGGGGCTTTCTGTTCCCGTAAAGATTGACAGCTTCAGAAACCCAATAGAGAGTCATTGTGAGTTGAACTCAACTCAGTGACACTGGGTTTCATTTACAACCCCTCAGAAGAAAAGACTATCCTCATTTTTTTTTTTTTTTTGGACGAGATAAAAACTATGGTGTTTGGATTTGAAAAATGAGTTCTGAGGAATTAAGAACCCAAAATAAAACCCTGGCCTGCCCTGGATCACCTGCATTTTCATTAGGCTTGGGGTGAGAGAGGGAATAACTCCCAGCCATGCTGCTTATCTGCTCGCTGCTACATTCCTGTCTCCTTTGGCTCTCACCACAGATCTATGCAGATCCCACCAAGAGGCTAGAGCTATACTTCCGGCCCAAGGATCCCTACTGCCACCCTGTGTGTGCCAATCGCTTCAGTACCAGCAGCATGCTTCTCCGCATCAAGAAGAAGACAAGGAAGCGCGCTGTGGTGCCAGGGGCTGAGGCCTGCCCTGAGGTCAAGTTTGAGATGGAGATCCTTGGCATTATCTCTACCACTTACAAGTTTCAGGGTAACTGCAAAATCCAGTCTTGCCACATTGGTTTATTTTGGGGCCTCCTGTTCCAACATCTTGCAGGGTCTGAATGGGTCATCTCTGTGAGTGAAGCAGGCCAAGACTACCTGGGGGATGTGGGGTAGGGGCTTTGGAAAACCGCCGATCACAGACTCCTTCTAAGAGACAGCCTCCCTTCCCTCTGGACAGTTGCTCCCGAAGGGGACTGTGGACTCCTTGCTGCCCAGTCTTCCTATGTTCTTCAGAGAAGCTAGAAATCCAGGGTTCTGTGAGAAATCTCCAATTTTTAATAAAACCATAGTGTGAGACCAAATAGAACTGGTCCACAAACTTCCAGTTTTTGACCTCTTTTGGGTTCTTTATCTGGGTCTCAACTGGTCCTGCCCTCCCTTCAAGCCTTCCTGCATAACCTCAGTCCTGTGAGACCACATCTCCTTTGAATTTTTAGCAGACTGGATGTCTTGTGGGGTCCTCAGTTGACTTTGCTATCTCAGGGAACCCCATGAAGGAGGCAGGAAAGGTGGCAGAGTACGGGTCAGAAAGAGCAGAGGTTTGGGAGTTGTGCCCACCTAAGCTCTGTGCAGTTTCTTTGGGCAAGTCACTAGGTGTCCATGGCCTGGGTTTCTTTGTGTGGACAGGAGCGAGTAGTCCAGTTTTCATGAGGTCCTGCTGAAGCGTCATGGAGACCGCGCTATTGAGCGTACTTGGCAGATTATTAGTAGGAGGCCTTCGAGATGGCTGTAGCTACCCTGGCAGTTGTAAGACAGACTTGGAAGAGAATAAAGACATACGACATCAAATGTTGTGTGCCATCGAGTCATTTCCAACTCATAGTGACTCTAGGGTTTTAAAGACTGTAAATCTTTCCAAGGAGTAGCTGATGGGCTTGGATCATTGACTTAGTGGTTAGCATTCCAGTGCTTATCCTACAGAGCCCCTGTGCTCCCCAGCAAACTCATGTTGTTGTTAAGTGCCATCTAGTTGGTTCCAACTTACAGCAACCCAGTGTAGTGTTTCCAAGAAGTGACTGGTGAATTTGAACCACCAACCTTCTGGTTAGCAGTCCAGTTATCCCACAGCACCATATTGGGACTCGTGGAATATTTGTTGTTGTTATGTGCCGTGGAGTCAATTCTAACTCATAGCGACCCTGTACAGGGTTTCCGAGGCTGTACATCTTTACAGGAGCAGAAAGCCTCCCTAAAATAATATTTATTCAAGTGGCTTAGAAGTACTTTGAGCCAACTTTGCAAAAGCAATTCTGAAAGGTGTTGTTTCAGCTCCTGCCACTGTTGCCTCAGGAGACTCCTATACGCAGATCGTTGAGCACCTTCCTAAAGGGATGTGGGGGTTGGTGGTAGGCAGCTGCTGGTTCCTGGATGAGTGTCTGTCTGCCTTTCCTTCTAGGAATGTCCGACTTCCAGTACTTAGCCGTGCACACAGACACAGGCGTCAGGCACATGTCAATGTACGACAAACTGCTCATGCACAAGCCCGAGAAGGAAGATTTCTTTAACCAGGAGCTGCCGCTCTACATCCCCCCACCCATCTTCTCACGGCTGGACACCCCAGTGGATTACTTCTATCGACCAGATATACAGCACCGGTAAGACTTCTGGGTTCAGAGCCAGGGGCTTGGGTCTGAGGCTCAACTCTTTTGAGATCTCTCAAACATGCCACTTAGCCTTCCTCAGCCTTAGTTGCACTGTCTTGAAAGTGGGATAATGATAGTGCTTGCCAAACAGAGGCATTAGGATTAAATAAAGCACGTGGAGCTCTCAGTTCAAGGCCAGGTACAGAGAAAGTCTTCAGTAAGTGGTATGGTCATGATTATGAACTTGGCTTCATGCCAGCGGGTCCTTAAAGTGCAGAGAATGTAGGACTTGACGGTTCCCACTGAGAAACAGCCTTTTTGACTTAGTCTCTGGTCATTGGTGACCAGTCATGCTCTGGACCTTGCTGTTAGCAGCATCAGTGCCGTAGTGTCTTAGGGCTGCTACAACAAATGCCACCGAGTAAAATGCTGGCTTTAAAGAACAGCAGTTGATTGTCTCAACTCCAGAGGCTACAAGTTTAAATCAGGATACTGGCCATGTTGATTCCTTCAACTTCTCTGAGAGAGGAATTGTTCTTTGTCTCTCTCCTAGTTTAAAGTGGCTACTGGCAGGCCTTGGTTTATAGATAGATGTTTCTTCACAGGCTCTGTGTCTCTTTGTGTCTGTTTCTTCTTTTATAAGACATTACTCTGTTGAGATTAGGACCTACCTTGTTACTGTTGTCTTATTCCATCAAGTTGATTCCAACTCACAGTGACCCCACATGTTGCAGAGTAAAACTGCTTATAGGGTTTTCTTGGCTGTAATCTTTAAGTAAGCAGATCACCAAGTCTCATCCTACTCCCGCTTAAAAAAAAAACTGTGTCCAAATTAGGTAATGTTTGTAGGTATCTGGGTTAGGACTTTAATATACCTTTTAGAGGTACCCCATTCAATCCTAATAAGTGTTTCTTGCAACTGTTCCCTTTCTGTGGTAGGAATTCCATGCCACGTGACCCCACAGCATGCATCCTTGAACCCCAGCCTGTTTCTCCATCCTCTGCCTCCTCATGGCCTCACTGCCTGCCCCTTTCAGAGATTGCAGTTGATTGGGAAAGGGTGTTTTGAAGATGACCCCTAGGTGGTGATCTTGGTTGTTCATATATCCTAGTCCATCTCCCCCCATCCCTGCCCCAGCCTTCCATGCACATATTCCTCTCAGTGCCACATGCAAGCATGTGGTTTATTGAAATTAAATAAGTGGTTTAATTTAGACAATCGAAATAATTAGAGACCCCAGGAGTTATTAGGAAAACTGGACTGGAAATTGTCAAATGTTGGTTTTTCATTGGAGACCAGCCACGTGTTGACATGAGGGAATATAAAAGCCAAGGCTGAATACTGTTAAAAAATAGGAAGAAAGTAGTTTGAATATACTCAACTGGGTTTAATAGCACCCACCAGCTCCACTGCCAAGGATTGCCCATTCCCACAGGAGAAGCACTGCATGCGTATTTTATCTCCAGGTGGACAGAGATTCCACATGCTTCTTTTTCGTCCATTTACGAATGGGGAAACACACTTGGGGAAAGAGCTTGCCCGGTCACACGAGCCAGCACCTAAACCCAAGTCATTCTCCCTCCACAGAGGCCTGCTTGTTGCCAGAGTGCTCCGCTTTCCTGAATTTTTTTTTTTTTTTGCTTTTCTCAAATTACAAGAGACAGAATTAGAAAACTTCACAAGTTTTAACAGCAGCTTGATAATGGCGTTTCTTTGAGATGTTTACAGAAAAAAGCAGGATTTGTTTATGATACGGTGTTTGTACAACATCAAAATCACATGACGTCCTTTTGCACTGAACGTGTTACGTGTTTTAAGCAATGTGTGACTATAGTAAAAACAGATAAGCCGAAGGAAAGGGGAATTTGAGGAAATGACCCATAGGTGGTGATCTTTGTTAAATAATTTTTCCGTAGTATGTTTTAAGCTTCTGAATTTACAATGACTTAGTTACATTGCCTGCTAACTTGGGCACCTGTGGGTCATCTCCCTGGCAACTGGCTGGGGGTGGCCAGTGGCCCTGTGTCCTGCCTGGTGCCTCCAGAGACAGCAGCTGGTAACGTGGATGGAAATGATGAGGCGTGTCAGGAGCCAGCGTGAGGGTATCTCCAGTGTCGTCGTCCCCCCAGAGAGTGACTTAGAAGTGTCATCACTGGGGACTTACCATGTACTTACCATGGTGTGTGGAGTCAGACAGGCTCTCTCCTGGAAGAGCTGCCACACATTTGTAGAGCAACTTGGCAAAATCTGTTATGTTCCAGTTCTTTCTGTTGGCCAGCCAACCCCATGTGGAGTCTCACCTTAGTGCTAAGGATGGTTTCAGGACTGCTTGTTGTAGCTAGCTATTGGCTGTAGCTTGATGTGGTGGGAGGGACCAGCGTACTGGTGCCACCACAACGCCACCCTGTGGTGAACTGCCTGACTTCTCCACACCAATTTCCCTATCTGTGAAGGCACGAATAATAGTACCTACTCCCCTGAGTTGTTTGGAGGGGTAAATGACGTAACAGAACCCTGGTGTACAATGGTTAAGTGCTCAGCTGCTAACCAAAAGGTCAGTGGTTCAGACCCACCAGCCCTTCTGAGGGAGGAAATATATGGCCATTGGTTTCCATAAAGATTACAACCTAGAAAGCCTAAGGGGCAGTTCTGTGTCCTGTAGAGTCTCTGAGTAAGAATCAGTTTGACAGCACACAGCAGCAAGTGACTTAAGCTTTTTAAAGTACTTAAAACAATGGCAGTACTATTATCATAGCAAACAAATTAAGCAGTATTCCTTCCTATCATCCAATACCCAGTCCTGTTTTCTCCAGTTACCTCAAAAATGACTCCGGAGCCAGATAAGGGCTGCATGTCACTTTTAATTGGTGTCTCTTAGGTCTGGTTACTCTATAGCATTCCCTCCCATTGCCCCTTTTCTGATTACAAGAGTGTATTGGTAGGAAAAAATCAAAACATCACAGAAAGATAAAACATAAAAGCAAGAAGTCATACCACCTTCTTAAAACAATATGATGCAGACCGTTTTTTGTGTTTATTATACTAGTTGCCAGGGTTCTAAGTGTGGTGGGGGATAAACCCACTGCTGTTGAATCAATTCTGACTCATAATGACCCTCTAGGACAGTAGTTCTAAGACTAAATCTTTTGGGGACCAGACAACGTCATCTTTTTCCCATAGAGCAGCTGGTTTGAAATGCTGACCCTGTAGTTAACAGCCCAGTGCTTAACCCACTGCACCATCAGGGGGAATGTTTTGTTTGTTTTAAATTCTGTATTTCTGAAATGCTTTGCTCCTGCCTTATAGTCAGAAGCAAACAAAAACATATAGAATCAAACACCCTTGTGCACAGCAGAGTCAGAGTCACTTCTCTGGCCTTTGAGGGCCACCAGCAGCGTCTGAGGTGGTGGTGAGATAGGGAGGCCGGGCACCCTTGGACCCACAGGCCCTTTCCCCTCCCCAGGGCGGTTATCGGTTTTCCAGTGCATGGAAAGAGTCTGCCTTTTCTCCCAGGACTACTATCATGTTTTCTGCTGTGCTGACCTTCCTGGGTACGCAAGAGCTGGCCAGGTCAGGTCTGGCCACTGTCTTGCTAGACGACCCCTGGCCCAACTTGAGCTCCTTACAAGGCAGATGGGCCTACGAGAGACTGGGAGACCCCTGTTCTTCCTGGTAGTCCAACCCTTCCTGCTCCATAGGTGAGCCCTCTGAGGTAGCCCCACTGACTTTGCTGCCAGCCCTTGTCACCCACCAGCAGCTCTCCAAATACTTAGTTCACCAAGATGTCCAAAGCCAGGAGCCACTGCATGAGGTGAGGAGGCAGCAAAGCCTCCTGCAATGCCTGGCACAGGCTGGCCCCTACCCCACCTTCCCACAGACAGGCTGTATGGCTCTAGAAGTGAGCCACCCTGGGCTTTCCTTCTTAGGGGTGTCTGGGATTTGGGGCAGGTGTTCTTGAAAACAGGATCTGTCCAAGATGTTGTCTAACAGATGTATACAAAAACAAAGGCACGGACTTTTGAATTTTATTTTCCAGTGTGAAAATGTCTTGGTTATTCTTTCTAAATACGAAGGTGTAAAAATTAAGGCAAAATGGAAAGAAATAAAAAGGTAATGATCACCTGAATTAAATTGTCTAATGCCCAGGGTATGCTGGCATACTTGAAAATGTACTTTGAAATAATTTTGCTGGCTCAGGGCTACTGAAAGTTGATGATGTTTTTATGGGTTCTTCATACTTTCCTCTCTGCTTTTTTATAAGCTTGACATTTCTGGGCAGTTTGGGACACATCCTCCCAGTTGTGTTTTATGCTAACACAGAGATGCCAGGATGCTTGGTTCTAGAGCCCTTGCTTTTAACTCTGTGCTGGATGATAACTACTGGACACCACCCTTTACTCATTCACCATCTGTTGTCAAGATGATTCCAAGGCAAAGACTCATGTTCTGTGTTGGGAAGGCAGTTGAGAATGTGGCTTCTACAGCCAGGCTTTCTGGGTTACAAGCATTTAATTTTTAAGCAAGCTGCTTAATCCCCGTAGCCTTAGTTACTTCATCAGAACATGGTTTTCTGTCTTTGTAGGATTGTTTAGAGGCTAAAATACACAAACATAAAAGTAGATGTCAGGCCAGAAATGGAGAGAGAGAGAGACGATGGCATGGAGAGATGGAACGGCTGGGGACTTTAAACCCAGAGAGAGAGAGGGGCTGTGTGCTGACAACCAGGGGGCAGGCTTGCAGGGTATACCCTTTGGTTGGTTGATGATGCATGGAGGGGATTGTAACCATGGCCATGAAACGATATAGGCAATGAAAGGATGAATGTAAAACTAATGTTCTCCCATGTAAACTGTCACATAATTCACAATAAAACAGAAAAAAACAAACAGAAAAAGTCAATGTCAGTAAGCTTAGCTGTTGTTATCATTGTCCTTTTAAGGACAAGTCATGTTCTGTTGGGTGACTGTGCCTTCATTGATTTTGCCGTTCCCCCACCGGTGGACAGTAGATTATGGAGGGTATTGCATGTGGCTTGGTGCAGTTAGGGGACTGGCGGCTTCATACAGGGTACCCTTCCACAGCCCTCCTCTCAGGAAGGCAGATCCTCCAGCTCAGCCAGATCCAGTGGGACCTTCTGGCTTTGTCCAACTTCCGAGCTGCAGGTCCCAGTTGCTGCCTTGCGTCCTCTCCCCTGGGAACAAGACTCTTCCCTTCAGTAGCTATTGCTAAGAGACCTACCCTGAACCAGGTTCCCAGGAAAGCGGCTCATAGCTGCCTCTCTATGCCCTTAGGGAAGGCTACAGCAACCCCACCGTCTCAAGTGAGAACTTGATTGGCCTGAGCAGGGCCCGGCGTCCCCACAATGCCATCTTTGTCAACTTTGAGGAGGACGAGATACCCATAAAGCCTCTGGAGGCTGCAATTCAGACATGGAAGAGAATCTGCACCAATCCCATAGACAGAAAAGTGGAGGAAGAGCTGAGGAAGGTGAGCCCCACCCCACCTGCCTCTCTAGTTACCCCCTTGTATTTACCCTCCTGTCCCAGTCCCCTTCACTTCAGGTTTGGCCAGGTTTGTCTTTTTTCCTCTTTCCCATTGGTTCTTTATAGAGGGGATTTTTTACTTCCAGATACCGTGTCTAAAAACCATGCTTGGATAAGCCCTGAAGTTCCCAAGGCTGAAGATCCTTCTTCACCAGTCTTTTTGGTGGTGGTTATGTGCTATAGATACTGACCCTGTACAGGGTTTCCAGGGCTGTACGTCTTTACAGGAGCAGAAAGCCTCGTCTTTCTCCTGCAGAACAGCTGGTAGTTTCAAACTGCTGACCTTGGGGTTTGCGGCCCAATTCGTAACCACTACGCTACCAGAGCTCCTTGGGGTGGTTTAAAAAAAAAAAAAAAGGATGCATTGCACGGATCTCCAGATCCATTCGCTTACTCCACCAAGCCAGATCGAGCACTCTTGTGTGCTTTCATCCTATGAGAGCTCTGTCATCAAGTCCCAGCCAGGACACAACACAGGGCCCTCTCTGGGCCTGTAGGCTCTGTGGGTACCAGGGCTGGGACTTCTGACTACATGAACAGCCAAGTTCACAGTGACACCAACTCACTGGCCAACTGAGGCTCAGGACTCTTCCCTTGTTGAAATCATGCACTGTTCCTTAAAGAGACTGGCTTAATTTCAGTAACTCCCCACAAAAAGAAGAAAGAAGTGGAGCAGGGGGAGCCACTCTACTCAGCAACCTCTGGACACAATCCAAACCCCTAAGCATGGCCTACAAGGCCCTTTCTGCCTTCTATATTCCTGCCACACTAGGCTTTTGCAGGCCTCCCTGAGCCAGGCCTTGGAAGTCCCAACTCATCACCGACCTTCTAACTGGGGCTCCTCCGGGTTCCCAAAGCTCCAACCCTTTTCTCTCAGCCTTGTTCTGGGGTCTGTGGTCATCTGCTCCCCTGCTGCACTGGGATCTGCCTAAGGATGGGCTGTGTCCCTGGGTCATTTCAGGAACCCCAGGTTCCACAGCCCCACTTGGTAGGCACTGGGATTTCAGTCCAAATTTGTCCATGGAGCACTGAGGGTGTGGGGGCAGCAGTCTTAGGAGGCTTGTTCTGCAGAAGTCTGGGTGTCAGGCTCTTGCCCCAGCTCTCTGGACTTGCCCACTGGGGGCTCAGTCCTCCTAACAGGAGGAAGAATGGAGTTTGTGACAAGCAGGTGGGTGGGAAGCTGCTTGTATTCACCTCAGCCTCTGCCCTTGACCACCCTCCTCAGCTGTTTGAACTGCGTCCCATCTGGTCCCGTAGTGCTGTCAAGGCCAACATCAGCGTCCACCCTGACAAGCTCAAGGTCTTGCTGCCCTTCATGGCCTATTATATGGTGAGTATTGGCTGGCCTGCCTGCTTCTTCCCTTAGTTTCCACCAACATTGTTCTTGATCCCTGAGATGATGTGTGAGAGCCACCCCAAGAGAAGGCATTTCCTGTCCTGACAGCTATGCGGTGGCTTTTTAAAGGCATTTAGGAAGGACTTAAGGACCCTGTGTAAAAAGTTCCCGGGAGCTTGCACAACCGTCTTAGTAGCATATCTGGACCATTTTAGTGTCCCCCTAACTTTGAAGTGAAGAGATTACACATTTTTAAATGCCTTTGTACAGAGAACTTCCTAAGGACCAGGCAAGAGTTGGACAGTAAGCCTGTATGTATAGAATACCCTTTATTCCTTTCTGGGATATGAGACACTGTACCAGTGTCCTGCAGCTTGCCAAGGTCCTAGGGTCACATCGGGATCCCAGCCCACCTGTCTGCAGACCTTGGACCCCTGGGCCAGTGCCACACTGCCTCAGCTACATTGAGTGGGTTCAGTCAATCCAGGGGGACAAGTAGTGGGGATGTCATTACCAAAAGTGCCCGTAGGAAAGGGAGCCTGCCTGGAACACTCAGAAAGGCCAGTGTAAGATGTGTCCATGAGAACCAGTGACAGCGAGGGGAAAGGGTCATCCCGTTAGAAATCCCTCTTGTCCTCTGGGACTCCAGATTCCCAAGAGCCAGCTCTGTCTTTGCATTGACTTTAAACATAAGTTCAGTGCTGAACACAGTCCATTGTTAGTCCTTATTAAGCACTTACTATGTGCCAGGTGCTGTGGTAAAGACTCCATGGGTATGGTCTCCCTTAATCCTCACAACAGAAGAAAGGGTGCTAGATCATCTCCATTCAGTAGGAAAACCAAGTCTGTCCTGGGTGCCAGAGCCTGCACATGGCAGGGTTGGGTGTGATTCCACAGTCATAGTCTCAAGTGTTTGGGGTGCTCACCCTCACTGTCGAGCTTTGCTCCCCCTACCTCCAGTCATCAAGGGGACTTGGTGAACATTCACCAGAGACACCTTAAGACTCGTGAACTTGGCCTCACTTTGTCGGTCTCCAGATAACAGGTCCCTGGAGAAGCCTGTGGATTCGATACGGGTATGACCCCCGGAAAAACCCAGAAGCCAAGATCTATCAAGTTCTTGATTTCCGAATTCGTTGTGGAATGAAATATGGTAAAATTTACTAACTTTGGCTTTGTATCTTCCACTCTTTTCATCTTTCTGTCTATAGCACTCTCTTGCAATATGGATGTGTAGATTCATACAGAGAACATTTTTTTTTAAAGTTTTCTTCTCATGGTGAGACTGTTGGGTACAGGATAGGTCGAAATTAAGATCCGAGTTCCACGCCACTGAGCCTGAGTCATTCATGCGTGGATTCAGACATCGTTCTGGCTCATGCAATATGTGCCAGGCATCCCTTCAATGCCAGCACCCTGGGGTTACAGTGAGCCAGTGCACAAGGAGCGTGAGCACATAGCCCTGTGTGGTTAAGTGCCACAAAAGATCAGCTACTGTGATTCTTTATCCCTCCTCTAATGTGTGCCAGAACAGGACTCTGCCCCCACCTTCACTTCATTCTCTGGTCTGCAGGTTATACCCCCAGCGACATGCCTGTGAAGACAAAACGCAGCGCTTACAACTACAGCCTCCCCATCACTGTCAAAAAGACAAGTAAGTAGCTCCCACTCATGTGGAAAAAGGTCTCCCTGCAGAGAGAAGGGTTTGCCTTTATGCTCACACTGAGGAAGATGGGCATCTGGACAGCTTTTTCACAGAGGAGAGGATCAGGGTGGCACCGGGCAGAGGCTTAGGAGAAAACCCCACCCACCTATACTGCATCTCAGAACATTGCCTTGTGTTCTCACAGCCAGCCAGCTCAGCATGCAGGACCTGGGCCCGTCAGGAATCGCCAATGCCCGGAAATCAACCTCCAACAAGTACAAGCTCAAGGTGAGCCCCCTGAAACCCAGCAGAGAGCCGCTGGGGGTGCTCGCACAGGGCACCCAACTATGTTGCTGGCCCTTGGTATACTTGGGCCTCAGTGAAGTATGTGCCTGCCCTGGGAAGGTGGAACTCAGGTGTCTCACAAGCACAAAGCTGAACAAGACTGTCTGGCCCCAGGTGTGGGCACTTTGATGAAGCTGCGCCCAGGCCTGCTCTCGTAGCTCACTTTTCACTCATCATCACCTTAGGAAGTGGCAGTTGCCAGAGGCCTTTCCCACGCTGAGGCTTCTGGGAGCTGCTCCTCAGTCCTATAGGGAGGTGGGGCAGGGTGCGTCCCCTCCCTGGAATCACCTGCTGATACACTGGGTAGTACAGAATGTACGGGCGACAGAGCTGGAGTGGACACAGCCATGCCCAGTGCCATCTGTGGCAGGTGGGCCCAGACCCTGTATCTGTCCCTCACGTTCCCCAGTGCTTGTTCTTCTCTAGGAGGGACATCAGGTCATCGCCTGAGTGACCTTCCTTCTCAAGAATTCTCTAATCTTGGCAGTTATCCCTGCCTGAAGAACTACCTGCCTGGGAAGGGAAAACCAAAAACAGCTACTCCTTAAACTCGACTTTCCTCCCAGAGAGAAATGTCAAAGCAGCTCGCAGGGATACACCAGCTGTCCAGGTAGACGTCAGCAAGAAATCAAAGGGCAGATTCCAGGAAGACGCAGAAAGGTGCACCCAGCATGAGGTCCATCCTGCACTCCATGCCATAGCACACAGTCTGCCTCATAACTGTTCTCCTGGCTCATGGTGACCCTGGGTGCCTGACTGCTGCTTTGTCTATCCCTCCCAGAGCTTGTCTCCACTGTCCTCAGTCTGTGATGGAGGCCTACCAGGTCCTGAGAACCTGCCTGCTCCTTGGAGAGGCCCTGTAGGAGCCTGTAGTGTGGTGACCTACAACACTGGCTGCCCCTAAAGAAAAGCTCCCACTAACTTCTCTTCTATCTCCTCCTTTTCCCAGGATTCAGTCTACATCTTCCGGGAGGGGGCCCTGCCGCCTTACCGACAGATGTTCTATCAGTTCTGCGATTTGAATGTGGAAGAGTATGTACATTAGGGGCCCTGGGACAGACACCAGGTGGGGACGAGGGACTGGGCTCAGTGCTTAAGAACTCACCCAGGGTGAGTCCTAAAGAGAACTTATCCATAGATGGGGACCTTAGATCCCAGTCTAATTTCCCATGTTAGTGGAAGATTCTAAATCAGAATCTCAGAAACAACTTTTAATCCAGTTGTTGTTAGTGGTGTTTGAAAGGTTAGGTTGGTGGGGAGAGGGAACCCACAGAGATTAGCGACCCAGCTGGAGTTCCCTAGTAGATGTTCACTATCATCTCGGCCATTTCTGTAGACTGCACTCTAAGGGCTGTTTTCCTAAACCCAGCACGACCTCAACAAGACCCTTCAGCTGGCACTCTCCCCCCAGGAGTTTTAGATTCCGCCCCTCCTCTCATCCCCCAGGTTGCAGAAGATTATTCACCGCAATGATGGTGCAGAGAGCGTGTGCACGGAGCGGGACGGCTGGTGTCTCCCCAAGACCAGTGACGACCTGAGGAACGCCATGTCAGCCATGATCCGGCAGGCCCTCCGCTCCAAGAGGCCTGGTGAGAGTGGCTTCCTTAGGGTGAAGGGAGCCCCAAATATCTGGGGACCCTGGGCCTTGGACCCACTCTGGAGACAGAGCAAGGGGCCACAATAGACCTCTTCCCTGGAAGTTGCCCTTGAGTGGGAGGGAGGCTATGTGAGCTTGTGTCCTCTCGGGCTACCTAGGAGACTATGATGTAGAGTCATGGTACTTAGAGCTGACCCAGAGGGCAGAAGCAGGCCTGGGGCTGCAGTCCAGGCTTCCCTCTTGAGCCCTGGTGCCCTCCTGACGCTCCACACGTGTGTGGACATGTTCTTGCACTAGGGGCCAGTAGGAGCCCATTGTCCCTGTTGCCCTGTCATCTTGCGTTGCTTAACTCAGCTCCTTCCCTGGCACCACGCAGTATGAAGCATGGGGAAGTGAGAAAGGGAAGTGAGCAGTTTCTTATTGGGGTTGCTGCTGCTGCTAAGCGCTTTCAAGTCAATTCTGACTCAGTGACCCTGTATAGGGTTTCCGAGGAGCCACTGGTGGGTTTGAACTGCCGACCTTGTGATTTGCAGTCCAATGCTGGTCCTACAGCACCACACCAGGGAGTTCCAAAGTTAGCACACAAGCCCACAGGTCTGAGAGCCAGGGGTTCTTAGCCTTGTTGGGCCACAGCCCTCTATGAGAATCTAACCAAGGCTGTGAGCCCTCTCTCAGAAAAATGCACCCACACATAATGGTGTGTATGCTCTTAGAGGCCTGTGGATACCCTGACACCCATTTACGGCTCTTCAGGGGCATGGTTTTCAAGTCTGTCTGCTTCAGAATCCCCTGGAGTGCTTGTGAACTTGTGCCAAGCTCTACCCCATACTTCCTGAAACAGTTTCTCCAGAGACCTGTCATTTACACAGGCTCCCAGGAGCCTTGGGAGCATGCTCTGGGCACCAGAGGTCACTCAGGGAGCCCTACACTAGGACCCACACAGCCTATTCCCTTCTGGCCCCAGCTCTCTTCTCCAGCCCGAGCAAGACGGATGAAGAGAAGGAGCAGTTGGCATATGAGTATGCAGAAGACGAGGAGGAAGATGAAGAGGAGGAGGAATTCAAGCCTTCAGATGGGAGTGAGAATGAGATGGAGACAGAGATCCTGGACTACGTGTGATAAGCTCTGGTCCTGTCTGGGACCTGACCCTGATGCTTGTGTCCTGGCTCAGCGCATCCCTGAGTAACCCAATGTCCAGCTAACTGAACTGATACCCATCACATTTCTCTCTGAGACCAGCAAGAGTTGGAGGTGGAGATGGTACAACTAAGGGAGGGGCCAGTCTTGGCTTGGCCTTTGTGACTAGGAACTTAGTCCATGGTTATAGATGGCCAAAGACTGCCTTTGATGAATCCAAACCATCTGGGTAGTGTTGGCAAGGGCCAGACCCAGCTGGAATTGGTCTTTATTAAATATGTTTTTCTGCGAGTCTATGTCTCAGTGGGGAATGGTGTAGCAAAAGGAGTTTCCTCTTACCTTGGGGCTCAGCGATCATTTGCTGATTCAGTGGCCTCATGCTGGGTGGTGCTGGGACCATCCACCAGGTGGGTAGGGTGAGAGTTGCCAAAAGCATCCCAGATTGCAGCCCCACAGAGTCCTGCAGCCCTCTGCTTACCCTGTATTCCTTCAAGTGGATGAGTTCCTCAGAGGCTCACTGTGAAAGTGTCTCACGGTTCCACCATTGGGGATAAGCCTGCCCTGACTAGAAACCGCAACCTTTCGTAGCAGAGCACCTGAACCAGAGATGGAATCTTCACCACCCACACAACCCCCACTTTGCCCAGCTTACTGGGACACTTGACTATGACCATTATACCCCTTCAGTTGCTGAGGGTAAAAGGAAGTCACGTTGATTCCAAAGTCAAATGCTTCTGGTAAGTTCCCATTGTGCTGACTGGTGCCCCCTGGAAGCTCCCTCCCACAGTAAGTTCAGGACCCTCCACAATTTACCTACTACTCAGCCTGAAGGGGCAAACTAGTCCGCTGAGGGCACCATGCTCTAGGGAGAAGAGTCAGCCATCTCTAGAAGCAGCTCCTCCCCAAAGGCACACTGGGCTCTGGACCCCATTGGGCTTCCTTCTCTCCTCACCTTTCAGGGGGTTTTCCCTCCAGAGCCTTTGGTGTTGTGTCTGTGGGTCTCAGTTGGGACTTAGCCCACTTCTGAGCCATACTATTTCATCAACTGCATTCTCCATCTTCCCAGAAGTCTTCTTGGTCTCTGGGCCAATATGAGAAAGGTGGGCCTGGGGTGCTGCAAAAATACAAAGCACCAGCCATCCCTTCTACAGTCCTACCTCTCCTCTGGATTTAATAATCTGGCCTAATGGCCACACAGAATACAGACACCAGAACGAAAGTTCAGGGAGTTTATTAGGGAAGCTAACATTAAAATTCAAGGAGCTCTGGTAGCGTAGTGGTTACAAATCAGGCTGTGAACCACAAGGTCAGCAGTTCGAAACTACCAGCTGCTCCACAGGAGCAAGATGAGGCTTTCTGCTCCCGTAAAGATTTAAAAAAAAGCCTCGGAAACCCTGTTCAGGGTCACTATGGATTGGAACCGACTCGACGGCACTTAACAACATTACAATTCAGGGTCAGAAATGCTGGGTACACTTGTTCCAGTCAGCTTCAGATAAAATGCCCGTAGAACATACCACTATGCCATAAGCCTCAGACTGAAGGCACTGGGTTTCTGACTCCGTGGATGAGCAAACCTAGGTGCCTGGAGGCACGCCGCTCCACAAGCACACTTCCTTTCCAGAGTCACCCGGCTGTATTTGCTCCCTGGTGTGCTCTGGTTCTTGATTCTGCTGCTGCTGCTGCTTCCCTACCACTCTAATGGCACAGCTTTCTGTCCCTAGGGGTTCAATGTACAGTATCTCAGGGTCCTAAAGACGCACTCCACTCTTGGCTCTTCTTTTTCTCATCCCAGCAAAGACTTACTAATAGGAAAGAAGCTTGCAAACAGGACTTAATACAGTGCTTAACCCCTCTCTCCCCCAACAAAACCTTTATTGTTTAGTGCCTTTGAGTTGGTTCTAATCTACAGTGACCCTGTATAGGGTTTCTGAGGAGCAGCTGGTGAGCTTGAACCACAATTTAGCAGTCCAGGGTATTAACCCACAGCACCACACCAGGACTGGTTTTAAAAAGTTTATTCATAGTGACAGGTGGGGATTTCTGGGAAATGGCCCATTTACAAGGGGCCATTCTGGTGTGGCGTTGTGGGTAAATGCCCCAGACTGCAAAGCCGTTTGAACTCCAGGTTGGTTCAAGCTCACCAGCTGCTCCTGGGAAACCCTATACAAGGTCCCTATGGGTCTGAATTGACTCATCCATCGGCACTTAACACCAACCAACAACATGCTAATTAAGTGCTTGTGTAGCATTTCTTCAAGATGTTAAGTACCATGGCTAGAAGAGACATTAGATAATTCACCACACCACAGGTAGGGACACTCCCTCAATTCACTCTGCAACTAAGCCTTTTAAACCCACTCAGATGCCAACTCTCTGCCAAATGAAAAAAAAAACATCTCAAGTTCTTCCTAAATTAAATTTCTTAAAAAGTAGTTTATGGTGATTCCCATGTAAACCCGTTGTTGTAAAAACAATAGCAACTCATGGAGATTTCAGTAGGTCTGACTAGAAATGTGCTCTAAGGTTTTCAGTGTAGTGGTGTATCCTATGGGCATTTATCAGCAGCTCACAGGAACAATTCTGTCCTGGGTTTTTCTTCTGAGGGGCGTAGAGGTGGTTTCAAACCTTGTACCACCCAGGGGATCCTGATTCTGTTCCCTGTTGGAAACCTAAATTCCTACACTTATTTTTTTTCTTGCATTTTATTATGAGAAATACACAGGAGTACTCAGAATTGTATAATGGTCCCCTTTTACCCGTTATCAAGGTTCAGCAGTTACTACTATATTTTGCCAACTTTGTTGCTTTATTTTCCCATGTTTTTTTTTTGGTTTTGTGTTTGTTTTTATGGAAATGGGCAAATGGTTTTAAGAAAATCCCATAATTTATTGTTACCTCTAACACAAAACGTTTTTGTTTTAACTGGTGTGGTGCTGTAGGGTAAATGTGGACTGTTCAAACCTACCAGCTGCTCTTTGAAACCCTTTACAGGGTTGCTATGAGAACTGGCTCAACAGCACTTAACAATAGCAACATTATTGGAGTCCTGGTGTGGTGCTATAGGATAAGCACTGAACTGCTAACCACAAGGTCAGTGGTTGAAACCTACCAGCCACTCCTCAGACATGAGTTGGAACCAACTGATGGGTTAAATGCCAACAACAACAATGCTATGACTGCACTTAAGTTACCTAGTTGTGGTTGTGTCCTGTGGAGTCGGTTCTGACTCATAGCGACCCTATACAGGGTTTCCGTGGCTATAAATCTTTACGGGAGCAGAAAGCCTCCTCTTTCTCCCACGAAACAGCTGGTAGTTTCGAGCTCACAGCCCAATTCGTAACCACAATGCTACCAGAGCTCCATCTTAGTTACCTAGTGCTACTGTAACAGAAAATCCACAATTGGGCGGCTTTAACATGTTTATTTCTCAGTTTAGAAAGCTAGAAGTCTGAATTTAGGGTGTTGACTGTAAAGCAGGGGTGGGGAACATCCTTCCCACAGGCCATATAAAGCCCTTGAGATCATTTGGTCTGGCCCTGCTAAGGCAACTGCGATTCCAGCCATCACGTTAGGGATGAGTTAATTAAATGTTTGACCAAATACAGCAGGCTAATGTTTAAGTTGATAATTTTGTGTGGTCCTGCGAATGATGTTATAAATATCCAAATGGCCCTTGGCAGAAGCAAGGTTCCCCAGCCTTGCTTGAGAGGAAGGCTTTTTCTGAGGACGGGAGGAAGGCTCTCATCTCTTCATGTGGTCTGGTATCTTTCCCCATCTCTGCTTCCTTGCTTCCTGCTGAATCTGCTCTTTTTTATCTCAAAAGAGATGATTTAAGGTACATTCGACACTAATAGTGCCTCCTTAACATAATAGAAACCATTCCCAAGTGAGATTATAATCACAGGTATACCCCAAACCCATTGCTGATCAGTTCTGACTCATGGTGACCCTGCAGGACCAACTGCCCCACTGGGTGTCCAAGGTTGTAAATCTTTACAGAAGCAGACTGCCTCATCTTTCTTCTGAGGAGCAGCTGGTGGGTCCAAATCATCCACCTTTGAATAGATATTCTGGTCCATATGCAGATATCCCTAATTGTCTCAAAATTGGCTTTTTACTTTGGGATCAGGATTCAAAGAAGTCCATGCGTTGCATTTGTCTATGGAATGAACCTGAATCTGACAAAGCTTCCTCCTCCTGTGTACATGCCATTTATTTGTTAAACAGGGTCACTTGCCCTATAAAATGTCCCCCATTCTGGATCTTCCTGGTGGTGGTGAACATGTTTCCTTCCCCCCTGTATTTCCTGTGAACTGGAGAAGGCTTGTCCAGATTCAACTTCTGGAACTTTCTCCAGGCATTCAGGAAGCATGGGTGGTTGCCAGGCATAAGTGTTTGCCACAGGTGTTTTCCAGATGGAAACAAAAATGTTTTAACATTGTTTGCTTACTGTCTGTCTATGTGCTGTTAAATCAATTGGGTTAATTTTTCACTTCGTCAATTAGTTCAAAACCTTGCTCCTTTCAAACTCAGGTTTACTGGGTAATCATAGATTCACTAAGTACTTCCTGTAAAAGCCATGGAATCTTTCCACAGAGGGGTATACATAGACACAAATATGTTCGTTGGGTTTCAGAGGGGGTCCCTGGCCCCACAGTTTGTTTTTGAACTTCCTAATAGGTCCATAGACCTGGATTCAGAACTTCTGGCCCAAGCACTCAGACTACATTTTCTCCATCAGCGTTAACATGGAGCAGCTAATTGTAATACCCACACTGGAGTTTGTCTGATTCTCTCCCAGCCTTCTGTGGGATCTGAGTCAGAGGTAAACCAGGAGAGGAACAGCACCTCCGAGGCCACACACAACCCTGGGCCAGGCAGTGATGCCAGGGCAGAGGTGACTTAAGGTCACAAGTGGGACCCTCTGGGATGGTTCCAGTTCCACAGAAGTCAGGGCCTCTGGAATTGGCTGAAACTTTTTGGGTTGAAATTCCCCTAAAATCCAGTTCACAAAAGCAGAATCAACGAATGGTCACACCAGCAAATGTAGTCAGCTGGCAATTTTTCTCGTTAAATGGACACTAATGCTCTCTTCGATGTTTCTGCAAAGCATCATTCAGCTTTCATTCAGTATTTATAGAAAGCTCACTCTATGCGGGACTGTCTGGGGTGCTAGAGACCACGGTTTACTTAATATGTCCCCTTGTTATTAGAATGTGGATCTCCTCCTTTTTTTTCTCCCTTGGCTCACCTCCTCCCCCTTTCCTTAGCAATTATAATACCACAATGAATATCCTGGTACACAAAGGGTTATTCCCCAGTATTCAAAATTACTTCCTTTAGAGCAGGTTCTCAGAATCTGAAAAAGGTGTGAATTGCCAAGTGCATTTCCTCATCAGGTGCTGTGAAGTCAGTTCTGACCCATAGCCACCCTGTGCACAACAGAACTAAACATTGCCCAGTCCTGCACCATCCTCACAATTGTTGTTACGCTTAAGCCCCTTGTTGTTGCCATTGTATCAATCCATCTTGTCGATGGGCCTACCTCTTTTTCACTGACCCTCCAATTTACCAAGCATGATGTCCTTCTCCAGGGGCTGGTTCCTTCTGATAATACGTCTGCAGTATGAGAGACAAAGTGTGGCCATCCTGGTCTCCAAGGAGCACTCTGGTTGCACTTCTTCCAACATGGATCTATTGGTTCTTTTGGCAGCCCATGGTACTTTCAATATTCTCCTCCAACACCATAACTCAAAGGCATCAATTCTTCTACGGTCTTCCTTATTCACTGTTCAACTTTCACATGTATCTGAAGTTATCAAGAGTAGTATCCCTTAAAGTTTTTGCTCTTCAATCCTCATATCCCACTCCCAGCTGAGCCCAGGTTTACCCTGCTTCCAGCCTTCACAGACCCTTTCTTCACGGATCTTAACTTCTCCCTCCAAGCCATCAGCCATTGCCCTCTCCCTAGCTTTCTCCAGCCTTTCTCTGTTCATTGTTGTTAAGTGCTGTCAAGTCAGTTCTGGCTCATAGTGACCCTGTAGAGGGTTTCCGAGAAGCAGCTGGTGGGTTTGAACTGCTAGCCTTGTGGTTTGCAGTCCAGTGCTGATCCTACAGCACCATACCAGGAGTACATTATGCAGAATAAAAGATCTGGGAATGGTAGCAGGTAGACAGACAGACAGACAGACAGACGTCCAATCTGTGTGGATCCTGGCTACAGTCATGAGTGTGGTATAAGTTGGGGCAGGAAACTGTGGCAGAAGCACAGGCTCTAGGATGGTAAAGGGGTTCCTGGCTGCTCAGGGTGCCATACCTCAGCTCCCAAGTCCATCACTGAGAACCGCTGTGCACACTGAGTACCACGTTCTTATTCTTTGTGGAGTGGCAATACCCAGTGTAGAGACTCAGGATAGGTTGTTTAAACTCTTTCATGGTGGGCAGAGTCTTTCAGGTTTTACTGATAGTGGTCTTCCAGTGTTTTAATAGCCTGCTTTTGTGGTTGCCAAAGTAACACACGTTCATGAGAAATATTAGTGGTCTCTTGTTTTATCTTCTCTGTCTCTCTGCTTCTCTCTTTCTATCTCTCTGCATGTGTGTGTGTGTGTCTGTCGCTCTTGATCAGAATATATTCCAGAGCCTTTGCTCATGCCATTCCTTATGACTAGAAAGCCTTCCTGCTTTCTTCCCTCTTTTCTTTCTGACTCTCAAGACTGACTCAGAGCCTCTCATCCCCCACCTCCCACCCCAGGCCTTTCCCATCCCAGACCTCATCATACTGACTGGTCACTTGGAGATCACTGAGGGTTATCTTGTACAGCTCTGTGCTCATGCCCCCAGTCCAGCCTGTACACCCAGTGAGCCCAGTCAGCTCATGGAAATAACAAGGAAGGCCAAGTAGCATGCAGCTTTTTCTATCCTGGAAGGTCCACTGGAGGCATTCCTATAAACTCACACTCCACTGAACTTGGGGTGGACTGGGCATGGAGACCAACATGCCCATTTCTCTGATAAGGAAGCCAGACTTCCTGGCCCCGTGTCTCCTGGAAGCACTCTCCCATACCCTGTGCCACCTGCCTCTGCTCCCAGGGAGGTGGTAACCTATGCAGGTGCACCACTGGCACCAGGGCACCTGGGAGCAGCTGGGAAAGAGCCTCCCTGTACCATGTGTACACGTGTGTGTGTGTGTGTTTACAACCTTGGCCCAGATGAGGCCCCCTGGGAACAGCAGATGTCTCCTCATCCCAGGGACATTGGTTGGAGCATGGCCAGCCTGGAGAAAGGGTGGAGGGAGGAGGGAAGACAGAACCCAACAGAGGGAACTGCCAACAAAGGGAGCTGCCAACAGAGTTTCCTGGCTGGCTTGGTTTCCATAAATACCCACAGGCCCAAGAGGAGGGATACCTAGAGACAGGCACACACCATGGGGCGCCTGGAGCTGGTGATCTTGGGCCTCACCTGCTGCTTGGCAGTGGCGAGTTCGGCAAAGGTAGGCAAGAGCATAACAGAGGTGGTAGAAGGCCAGGATGGGAGTCTCTCACTTTCTTCCTGCTAAACCAGCTCTGGACACTTTGGGGACTAGTCATGGAAAGGATCAGACAGACAGATGGAAGCATAGGCAGAAGCTGCTAGTCAGAGAAGCAGCCAACATTTCCTGGGTGTAATCAGAGCTGAGGCCTGTGTGGTTCCACCGGGGGACATTCATTTTACAACTCAGGCTTTGTTGTTGTTGTTGTTGTTGTTGTTAAGTGCCGTTGAGTTGATTCTTGTTGGGTGCTCTCAATTCGATTTCGACTCATAATGACCCATGTGACCTAGTGGAACTGTTCCATAGAGTGATTAAAGCTGTAATCATGGTGTGGCACTGTGGGTTAATACACTGGACTGCAGTGTTGGTTTGAACAGCAAGGTCGGTGGTTCAAGCTCACCAGTCGCTCCTGGGAAAACCTATACAGGGTTGCTATGGATTAGAACCAACTCAACGGCACCCAACAACAATAGCAACAATCTTTATGGGAGCAGACCATCGGGTCTTTCTCCTGAGAAGCTGTTGTGTGGATTCAAACTGCCAACCTTTTGGTTAACAGACATGCATTGAACGTTGCGCTACCAGAGCCCTTTACAAATTCAGGCTGCCAAGTCCTGTTGGCTCAGCACTGGCAAAGTGAGTTTGAACCGGAAGGTCATCGGTTCAAACTCACCAGCTGCTCCTGGGAAACCCTATACAGTGTCGCTAGGAGTCAGAACTGACTCAACAGCACTTGTCAGCAACAAATTAAATCTGAATTTCAGATGTTAATCCTTTTTAGTGTATGTCCCATACAATATTTGGGATATACAAGAGGGCTTCAAAAAGTTTCGTGGAAAAATTCCATTATCTTTCAATTCCATTTTCCGTTAATTTTGTAAAGCCCCTTCATACATATACTAAAAATGATTCCTTGTTTATCTGAAGTTCAAAAAGTTAACTAAACACCCAATATTTTTAATTGCTAAATCTGGCAACCCTACCTACAACAACCTTCCAATGTCAATATCATCCCCATTTTACAGAAAGGGAAGTGGGTCCAGAATAAGCTATTTTGCCCAACTACATACAGGTCCTCTTGTGGCACTGTAGGAAAAGCACTGGACTGTTAACTGCAAAGTCGGCAGTTCAAATTCACCAGTTGCTCTTTGGAAAGCCTATATGGGATTGCTGTGAGTCGGAACCAACTTGATGGCACTTAACAACAACAATACACACAGGCCCCAAGTGGCTGAGCAGGAGCCTGAGACCCTGTGAACTCTAACCTCAGAGTTTGGCTTCCATTGTTTCTCCAGAGGGGAAGTTCACAAGCACCCATAGGTGTCAGCTTGCCTCCAGGAATTAGGAACCCTGGGGCTTGTGTAAAACCTGCCTTCTGTGGTGAGTATGAGGAAGAGAGCTGGAAATGCCTCAAGGACAGAACCCCCAAAGCTACAAGCAGACTGTGGGCGCCCAGTTGAGACTGTGCCCCAGTAGGGTTTACATGGGGACCTCAACCCCCAGGATAGGCAGGGATCCCAGGAAAAGCCTCTTTGTTCCCAGTTCCTGGGGGGAACTAGATGCTGTCTCTGACCTTAGGAAGTCCTCTGCACAGCCTGACCCTGCCCTCAGCACTCCTTTTGTTTTTATTGGAACCTGAAGGTTCCAGAATGATCCCTGGGTCACTTCTGTCATGGGGGTTTGCTCTTTTTCTTGGGGAGACTTCCTTTTCGGGTCCAGCATCAGTTCTACCCCTGGCACCAGGGTCCCTATGCCCTTGGGCCCCATCTTGATACAGAGACACTTCTGGGAAGGGACTTCTCTGTCCCCAGGCCCTGACCTGGTTTCATCCCCTCCCAGAGGTCGGGAAGAATGCCTGGAGACTTGGGACAGGAAGGTTCATCCTATCTCCTGGACTCTCCCCCAAGGCAGTCTGGCAGGTGTTGCTTTTGGGTTCTTTCTCTCACCAGTTCCAGCCTGCCTCACTCTCTCCTCCCGAGTGTGACATTAGAGGGGCCTTGGGGTCCCAGCTAGGCCCAGGGTTCAAGACTGCCACACCATCCAGGTGAAACAGAAGCAGCTACCTGCCACAGCCACCATTGTGGGTATCTGCACTGCTCCCAAGCTGGCTCTGGGAAGGGGAGAAGCGCTTGGCTCTGAGGTCAGACTGCCATGTTCCAGCAGGTGAACTTGCATCAGGGAAGCCTCAGGGTCTCAGGCTGAGGAGAACATCATAGTCCAGGGTCTTCAGCCCAAGAGAAGCAGTAGCAACAGTTCTGACTGCCCAGGGGTGGGCCTAGACATGGACATGGGCATGGCTCCATTAGGGAACACAGGAGCTGTCGACAAGACCACCGACTCACAGTGAGGGACTTGGAGAGAAGGGCTAGTCCCTAGGAAGCTCAGGATTAGGTATGGAAACAAATGCTCAGTTTATTGTTTATTCAACCAGGCAAGGCTGAGCACCTGCCCTGGCTGGAATCTGAGGAGTGTCTAATCACACACAAGCAAAGGCAGATTACCCAATAAGCAAGGTAAGTTCAGGCTTACCTATGCTTACTTACTAATCTGTAGTGAAGCGTTTCAAATGTTTTCCATGTGACATGGTTCGCTACAGATTAGTCCTTAAGCACAAGTAAGCCTGTGCTTACCTTGCTTACTGGGTACACCGTCTCTGGCAGAGATTGGAAATTTGAAGAGGCTTTGATATAGAATCAAAGGTATAGATTGGATATATATAGATAGATAGATTTGATATAGAATCTATAGGCAGGTGCTGTGAGGTTGGGAGAGAGACAGATGCCAGCTAGACCTAGAAGCAGAATCTTTGATGTGTGATACAAAAAAAAGAAAAAGAAATTGTTCACTACAGACTAGTAAGCACAAAAATTAGCCTGTGCTTACTTGCATCTTGAGTCATCCAACACAGGCCCATGCTCAGCTTACAGATGAGAAGACTGAGGCTCAAGGCCGTAGCCAGGATCCAGGTCCCCACCGCCTGCCTCTCCAGCTTTCTGAGTGGGGCAGTAAGCCAGTTCCTTAAGAAACATGGGCAAGTGGCAGGGGTTGCTGTCTTGTCTCTGGTACGGACTTGCACCCTCTTTGAAACTGTCTCTTGGGAACACAACCTGATGCTGAGTGCTCCTGACCTACCGTGTCTCCCCCACAGTTGGGCGCCGTGTACACAGAAGGTGGCTTTGTGGAAGGTGTCAACAAGAAGCTTGGCCTCTTTGGCGACTATATCGACATCTTCAAGGGCATCCCCTTTGCTGCTGCCCCCAAGGCCTTGGAGAACCCCCAGCGACACCCTGGCTGGCAAGGTGCGAGTAGGCGGTGCTTGGCGGGGCCCTGCGGCTAGGGAGGACTGTGCAGTGACCACCCTGATGCCAGCCCTTCCAGTCACCTGTAGGCAGCGGTGAATCTGTGGGAGGAAACAGCGCTGATGATAGTTTCAAATCGCTAAATGATCTCTCATAGATGATGATGGAAACTGCAATAGCCAATTAAAAACTGCTCATTGGCGCCACCCTTCAAGTGGTGACCAGGGCCGGTGCCACACCTTCCATACCTTAGATACATCTCTGTTTTCAGGAACTCTGAAGGCCAAGGACTTCAGGAAGCGATGCCTGCAGGCCACCGTCACTCAGGATGATACCTATGGAGAGGAAGACTGCCTCTATCTCAACATCTGGGTCCCCCAGGGCAAGAAGGAAGGTGGGTTCACCCTCTGTGGTCCCTCAAGTTTCCCTCTCCCTGCTGAAGCCCCCAAAGAATCCGAGTCCCAGACCCAACTCTGCTGGTTGTGTCCCACGGCTATAAGATAGAAGTTTCCTGAAATCAGCACAGGGTGAGAGGGGGAAGAGAAGGGCTCTCACTGCTGGTCCCCAAGCAGACCCTTGGAGGCCACATGAGCACACTCTCTTCATGGGAGTGAGGGGATTAGCCAAGAAGAGGGGCTGGATAAGTGTCTTGGTGTAACTGGAGCGTCTCGATCCCCAGTTTCTCGGAACCTACCTGTCATGGTCTGGATCTATGGAGGAGCCTTCCTCATGGGCGCCGGCCACGGAGCCAACTTTCTCAACAACTACCTGTATGATGGCGAGGAGATAGCCACGCGTGGCAACGTCATCGTGGTCACCTTCAACTACCGTGTTGGCCCTCTGGGTTTCCTCAGCACTGGAGACTCCAACCTGCCAGGTTCGCCTGGCACCGGAAAGTCCCGGGGGTGGGATCCTCCTCAGTGCCCTTCTTCCCAACTGTCTCCTGTCCAGAATACTTTTCACAGAGCTGAGAAGCTGGAGTTAAATCGTGAGACTCAAATGTAGTGAAATAAAAGAAACTAACAGACAGAAAGACAAACCTAGAGAAAGAGTAAAAGACAGAGACAGCAAAACCAAGTGAAATAGAGACAGAAAATGACACACTGAGGCAGAGATGCGAGACACAGATAGCATCAGGAGAGCCGGACAGCAGAGGGGCCATAGCAGGAAGGAGGGAGATGAACAGGAAGGAGGGACCTGGCCATCTGGTCTCCTCCTTGGCCGCAGCCCCCAGGTTCCAGACTCTTTGGATCCAGCATTTACCATTCCTAGGCTCTGCACAGTTGAGGACATTTTAACCCAACTCACACTGATTGTCCCTACTGCATGCCAGGCTCTAGCACCCCTGTCTCCTGGCCAAGGGTACCCAACAGATACTCTCTACCCCCTATCCTGCCCCCAGGTAACTATGGCCTTCGGGACCAGCACATGGCTATCGCATGGGTGAAGAGAAACATTGCAGCTTTTGGAGGGGACCCCGACAACATCACCATCTTTGGGGAATCCGCTGGAGGTGTCAGTGTCTCTCTGCAGGTCTGGGGCTCCCCAGAGTGGAGGGTCTCTCTCAAAGGGTTTGGGAGGGAGCTGATGGAGGTGGGCAGAGAGGAGGAGGCAAGTGGGCATATCTGTGGCTGAGTCTGGGTTAGGACAAGGTGGGCGAGGCCTTGGTAAAAGAACCCCTGTATGTTGCAGACCCTTTCCCCTTACAACAAAGGCCTCATCCGGAGAGCCATCAGCCAGAGTGGTGTGGCACTGACCCCTTGGGCCATCCAAAAGAACCCACTCTTCTGGGCCAAAACGGTACGTGGTGGTGTAGCAGTGGGCAGGGTGGGCATGGATCTGGGGCTCAGTCTAGATGTCCAGGCAGGGGTCTTGAACACATTTTCATTTTCTATCATGGATTATGTCTTTGTCTCCAGTAGTTCTCTGTTCTGAGCATTTGCCTGAATTACCTGCCTACTATTTTTCCCCTCCCCACCCCCAGATTGCCAAGAAGGTGGGCTGCCCCATGGATGACACTGCCAAGATGGCCAAGTGTCTGAAGATTACCGACCCCCGTGCCCTGACTCTGGCCTACAAGATGCCCCTGGCTGGCATGGAGTGTGAGTGGAACTGCTGGGCACAGGGGCACGCAGTGGCTTAAAGTGGGGAAGGTTCTACTGGGCAGGCCATGCTCTTGGCCAGGGAATGAAAGTGTCTGTTCTGTCACCAGAATTCCCATTTGGGGAATTGTTCCCATACAGGCTTCCGCTTGTAAGGGGTAGAGGGGACCATTCTTCCTTCTTATCTTTCATGGGTCATGGACCCCTTGATGACCACTTGGGTTGCACCCCCAGAAATGCATACACTTGCAGTTATTTTCACATAACTTTAGGGTAACGCATGAGCCCCTGTTGTGGCACTGTAGGAAAAACACTGGACTGCTAATTGCAAGGTCAGCGATTCAAACCCACCAGTCACTCCTCAGAAACCCCATACAGGGTTGCTATGAGTCAGGACTGACTTAACAGCATTTAAGAACAATAACAACAGCAACATGGATTGCTAAAGCCCACCTGAGAGTCCAAGGACCTCAGACTAAGTAATTTGTACCAGATGACCATTAATTCATTCCTTCAACATTTACTGAACATCTACTATAGACTTGTTACGAATCGGGCTGCGAACCTTAAGGTCAGCAGTTCGAAACTACCAGCCGCTCCGCGGGAGAAAGATGAGGCTTTCTACTCCCGTAAAGATTTACACCCTTGGAAACCCTGTACAGGGTCGCTATGGGTCGGACCCGACTCGACGGCACTTAACAACAACAACAACAACTATAGACTTGTAGAGTCCTGGTGTGGCGCTATGGGTTAATGTGCCAGACTGCAAAGCTGTTTGAACTGCAAGGTTGGCAGTTCAAACTCACCAGCTGCTCCTCGAAAACCCTATACAGGGTCGCTATGGGTCGGAACTGACTTGACAGCACTTCACAGCAACAACTATAGACTTGAGGTCAGCAGGCTTTCCTTGCTGTTGTTCGGTGCCATCAATCCAGTTCCAACTCATGCACAACAGAATCCTCTGTCTAGTGGATTGGAATTCCCTCTGGCTCATTCTGCTCAGGCCTAGTACAATGGGGCCCACCACATTACTTCTGCGAATTAAACTGAAATATGTGGCAAAACAAAGCCAAGACTTTCATTTGGAGCTTAGTTGAGGGAACAGCAAGCTGCCCCTCCTTGCCTGGAGGGAAAACCAGCATTCCAGACCTAAGGAAGTCCATGCATCTTCTTACACCAAAGGCTTCTTTAGGGACTAGTTCAGGGGTGCTGAAGGGCAAAGTGGGCCTCCTTGAATTTTTGGCTAATCAACTAGAACTCAGCCCTGGGAGGGGGTTGTCTTTTTCTCCATCAGTCTCCTCAATTGTTTCTAGATCTCCTTCTCCCAAATTTAGTCTCAGTGAGAAGAGGCAGAGGATAGGCAGCAATGTAGCAAGGGGAAACCCATGGCTCTCCACCAGGGATGATTTTGCCCCCAGAGAACATGTGGCAATATCTGGAGACATTTTTGGTAGTCACAACTTGGAGAAGGATGCTTCTGGCATCCAGAGGGTACAGGCCACGAATGCTACAAACATCGTGTAACACACAGGAGAGCCTCCCTGCCTCATATAACATAGAATTATCTGACTCAAAATGTGGATCAGGTCAAGGTTGAGAAATCCTACTCTAGATCAAAGAAGGCAGGAGATCCCCATTGCAGCCTTATAGGGATGGGGCCAACTCCACCTTCAGAAGCCAAGGAGAGAGACGGCTAAGGGGCTATTGGAAGGTATAAGAATTTGTTGGCTCTCCCATCCAGACCCCATGTTGCACTATCTGGGCTTCCTCCCTGTTGTTGATGGAGACTTCATCCCTGACGACCCTATCAACCTGTACGGCAACACTGCTGATATTGACTACCTAGCAGGCACCAACAACATGGATGGCCACATTTTTTCCAGCATTGATGTGCCAGCAGTGGACAAGACTAACAAGGTTGTCACAGAGTAAGTAGGAGGCATGGGAGACAAGGAACCATGCTGAAGGCTTCTGGGGAGGAGTTCACCTGGAGTAAGTGGTCCCAGAGGAGGCAGGCATTTGCAAAGGGGTGGGAGTCAGAGCAACATGTTGTGGGGACCATCCATGGCTTTCTTCTGGGTGGGTGTGCAGGCTCCCCCCATTGGCACTGGGTGGAGAGTCCAGTGCCTGTTTGGTCCTTGCAGGGAGGATTTTTACAAGCTGGTCAGTGGACTCACCATCACCAAAGGGCTCAGAGGCGCCAATGCCACCTTTGATTTGTACACTGAGACCTGGGCCAGTGACTCATCCCAGGAGACCAGGAAGAAGACCGTGGTGAATTTTGAGACTGACATCCTCTTCCTGATGCCCACCAAGATTGCCGTGGCCCAGCACAGAGCCAATGCCAAGTGAGGGCACGGGTGAGGGTGGAGGTGAGAGTGTGGGAGTGGCACCCTGAGGAGACCCTCCTGGGATGCTGTAGCTTCCTGCAAGGCCTCACCAGTGAGTGTGTAATAGGTGTCAGAATGCCTGGGAAACCCTGCCCAGGTCCCACATGTCCCTGTCCTATTTGCTTCTCCCTGGTCTAGCAGGGCTCCAGAGGGACTCTCTTCCCTTCCTGGCCTCCAGGGTTTATAAAACCCTTCCATGGTCCTCTGCCCTATTCAACTTTCCTCCTCAGGAAAGGATAGAGTTTTAAATCTATCCTTCGTTCTTCATGCTGTGTATGTAAAGAGAACACTGGACAATGGTCTCTGTTCAACATTGCCCACTTTCAGAACAGTTTATGTCTGTGAGCAGTTGTTGTTACGTACCATCAATTCCAACTCATAGTTACCCATGGTGGTGGTGGTGGTGTTGGTTCCGACTCACAGCGACCCTGTTGTAGGGTTTCCAAGGCTGTAAATCTTTATGGGAGCAGAAAGCCTCATCTTCCTTCTGAGGAGCCACTGATAGTTTCGAACTACTGACCGTGAGATAAGCTGCCCAACTTGTAACCACTACGTTACCAGAGCTCTTTATAGTAACCCTATATGATTGAGTAAAACTGCCTCTTAGGATTTCTTAGGCCATAATCTTTATGGGCGTAGTGGTTACGAATCGGGCTGCGAACCGCAAGGTCAGCAGTTCGAAACTACCAGCCGCTCCGCGGAAGAAAGATGAGGCTTTCTGCTCCCATAAAGATTTACAGCCTCGGAAACCCTGTACAGGGTCACTATGGGTCGGAACCGACTCGACAGCACTTAACAACAACAACAATAACAATCTTTATGAGAGGATATCACCAGACCTTTTTTCCCATGGAACAACAACTGATGGGTTCAAACAGCTGACCATTTTGTTAATCTGAGCACTTAAACATTGAGCCACTAGGGTTCTGTGACCACATTAAAGAGCATAATAACCAGTTGTCAGCTCCATCTCATAGTGACCCCATGTGTTTCATAGTAGAACTGTGTGCCACAGGGTTTTTCTTTTAATGTTTTATTGTGAATTATGTGATAGTTTTACATTTATCCTATCGTATATCATTTCATTGTCATGGTTACAATCCCCTCCATGCATCATTAACCAACCCCCATCCCCCACGGACGTCAGCACACAGCCCCTCTTCCTCTCTGGGTCTAAAGTCTCCACAGGGTTTTTAATGGCTGGTTTTCCAGAAGTCAATCTTATTATGATCGACGTTGTCCTTCCAAGGTGCCTCTGGGTTAACTCAGCTTGTCGGTCTTTCGGTTAGCAGCGGAGCTCTTACTTAACCACTGCTCGACCAGGCTACTTAAAAAGTTGTTGTTAGGTGCCAACGAGTCGACACCAACTTGTAGCAACCTGATGCACAACAGAACGAAACACTGTCAATCTCACAATCATTGCTACACTTGAACCCATTGCTACTGTTGTTGTCGAGTTGGTTCCAATTCATTGCAGGCCTGTATAGGGTTTCTGAGGAGACACTGGTGAGCTTGAACCACCAACCTTGTGATTCGACCCAACTCTGCAATCCAGCACATTAACCTACAGTGCCACACCAGGACTCCATTGCTACTGTGTTGTTGTTGTTAAGTGCCATTGAGTCAGTTCCAACCCCTTTGGAGACTCATGGATTCTGCTTTCTAATTGTATTTATCCCACACAAAGGTTTTCTGTATAGGATTTCTGAGGGGCAGCTGGTGAGCTTGAACTGTAGACCTGGTAGTTCAAACTGATTTTGCCATCCAGGGCATTAACCCACAGTGCCACACCAGGACTCCATTGCTACTGTGGTAGTGGTGGTGGTTATGTGCCGTGAAGTCGGTTCCGACCCATAGCGACCCTGTATAGGATTTCCAAGGAGCAGCTTGTGAACTTGAACCACCAACTTTGCTTCTTATAGCAAGGCAAAACGTGAAACAGCTGAAGGCATATAACTTGTCCAATCAAATGAAGAGTCTATAAATGAAAGATTGGTGAGGAAAAATACTTCCTAGGTACTCAGCAATAAGAGGAAGATGCCTAAACCTTTGTGTGGGATAAATACAATTAGAAAGCAGAATCCATGAGTCCCCAAAGGGGATTGTTCTCCTAAGGGGGACAATCCTAGCTTCTTTGTGAGTCCTCTGCAAATTCCCCCAGATTCTCTCATGTGCTTCTTACACACTCCCTTTGAGTCTGTCTCTGGGCAGGACAGCCTAGGTAAGCATCCTGCCAAACTGAGTGGTCCCTTTGTCTCATCCTCAGGAGTGGCAAGACCTACAACTACCTGTTCTCCCACCCCTCTCGGATGCCTGTCTACCCTGATTGGGTGGGGGCTGATCATGCAGATGATATCCAGTATGTCTTTGGGAAGCCCTTCGCCACCCTTCTGGGCTACCGGCCTCAAGATAAGACTGTCTCGAAGGCCATGATCGCCTATTGGACCAATTTTGCTAGAACTGGGTAAGGTTTGGGGTTGAATTGCAGACGTGAGCTACTGCCCCACCTGGCGTGGATCCAGCTACAGGCACCACAGCTCTGTAGACCTGGGATTCCTGCCACTCACTTACCAACTGGGACACTTTGGGCAAGTCACATAACCTCCCTGAACCCAAGCATCTCCATCTGAAGATGAGCGCTCCCTGCATGCACCCTGCTCTTTGCCAGGTCCTCAGAGCACTCAGACCAGTGCCCAGCACACAGTGTGGATTTATTTGAGCAATCTAGCTTGGAGCGAGGGAGGATTGCCCAGGCATGTGGGAGGGCAGAACTGGGCCAGGTCTCTAGCTCTCGGTGATTCTGCAGCGCCCACTCAGCCTCTTCTCACTCTGCAGGGACCCCAACATGGGCCACTCGGCCGTCCCCACACACTGGGATCCCTATACCACGGAGAAAGACAACTACCTGGAGATCAACAAAAAGATAGATGGCAACTCCATGAAGCAGCACCTGAGAACCAACTACCTGCAGTACTGGACCCTGACCTACCAGGCACTGCCCACAGTGAACAGTGGGGAGGCTGTCCCCGAACCCCCCACGGGTGACTCTGAGGCTGCTCCTCAGCCCCCCAAGGATGACACTGAGGCCGCCCCCGAGCCCCCCGTGGGTGACTCTGGGGAGACTCAGATGCCCATAGCCATTGGCTTCTAATGTCCCATGAGCCTTGGCCCATGCTCTTCATGAATAAAGCCTCACCCTTCTGTATTTGTCTTCTTTCTTTGCTCCAAAGCCCCAGCTGGAGAAAGGAGGAGCAATCATTTATCTTCACCCCACCAGGAGCTTAGTCAGTCTTCTAAACTCCCAGGAGGTCGACTATCTTCATTTTAGAGAGGAAGGAACAGGTTTGGAGACATTACATAGTAAACCCAGTGTTGGGATTCAGGTATAGGTTACCCCTCCAGCCTTTGCACCAGGCTTCTAGTTCCTGATGGGCTGGGCTCTGGCCGTAAAAGAGTGAATAAGATGGTAGTGGCAACCAGAGAAGGGAGCTGGGCTCTGCAGAAGAATGCCTTCAAGGGCAGGAGGCGGCCTCCTCTGGAGCCAGTGGAACCCCAAGTCCTGAGGGCAGGGAGTGACCTTATTTCTAATTGTGGTCTAGGGACCCCACCAGCAAAGAAAAGATGGGTTCTCTTCCTCAGCTGGATACTAGTCAAAGAGAACAAAATATCACATTGGATGTTCAGAAGCAAAGGGAGCAGGATGGCTGGACGTTGGATGCCACATCCCCTGCTGAGCAGTGGCCTACTGGGTAGTGCCTGGTCATTGTGGCAGAGTCAGGGGGACAGGTGACGGAACTGAGAGTTGAGGTCTGTCCGAGTTGCCTAGCACTGCTATAGCACAAACACCACAAACTGTGGCTTTAAAGAACGTAAGCTAGACGCTCAACTCAGGGTCTTGGCCATGTCAACTTCTTCCTTGTCAGTAGCTCTGTGCATTCCTTGGATCCTTGGCTTGCAGACAGTCTTCACATGCTTGTCTCTCCCCCTTCTGTGTGCATGTCTGTGTCTAATTCTCTTCTTTTTATAACTCAGAAGTGATTAAGTTTAGGACTCACCTTATCCTGGTTTGCCCTCATCAACCTAAACAAAAACAAAAGCCTTATTTCCAAACAGGATCACATTCTCAGGTAGAAGGGCCAGGACTTCAACACATGCATCTGCTCTTCACTTATCTCCTATCTCGTTATCTGACCTTGACATTTATAATAGCAAAAAATCTACGATCTGATTATTTTATGCATTAACAACTTATGCCTGGCAGTAACAAACAGTTAGGGCTGTAATCACTAGGTCTTCTCCCTCCTATCTGAGCTCCTGCCCCTCCATGACCATTTACAATGTTAAAGTCTTGTAGATTGGGTTCTGCTGACTCATAGTGACCTGTACAGGGTTTCTGAGGTGGGTTTGAACCGCCAACCTTGTGATCAGCAGTCCAGAATGAAATTCAAAAGCAAAAAAAAAAAAAAAATTTACACAAAGGGAAATCCACAGATGTCTGCTAAATATGTATTTAAGGCTGTTGTTATTGTTAGGTGCCATCGAGTTGGTACCGACCCATAGCAACCTTAGGCACAGCAGAACGAAACACTGTCCGATCCTGTGCCAACCTCTCTACTGTTGCCACGCTTGAGTCCATCGATGCTGCCACTTGGCCAATCCATCTCGTTGGGGGTCTTCCTCTTTTTCTCTGACCCTCCACCTTACCAAACATGATATCCTTCTCCAGCGACTGGTCCCTCCTGACAATATATCCAAAGTATGAGAGACGAAGTTTGGTAATGTCAAGTAAAGTAATGCCGATTAAAACCTAACAAGATCCTATTTTTAGCCCAGCACAGACATAGATGTAGATAACAAATAACTGATGCAATTACAGTGAGAAGGTCAAGAAAACAAACACTTATATACACTATAGAGTTCATATCGGCTTAAACTTTTCCCCAGAAAAAATAATTCTACTTCTAGAAAGTACACATTGGTGTGTATGAATATAGATGTATACAGTCACACAGGAAGGAAATTTCAAAGAATAAAAAATATATAGTATTATATACATATTTATAACTATCTATAAGGAGGAATTAACTTAGCTGGTAAAAAAGAATATTGACATAGAAAATACTTAGATTGTTGAGTAAATATTATTCTATAGACAATTTTGCAATAACAGTAATCATAATCATCCACAAGATAAGTACTCAAACTTCACAGGAGTAGGAAGGCAAATGAAACTACAGAGGGTACTCCTATAAGTATTCATTTTGTTGTTGTTAAGTGCTGTCAAGCTGGTTCTGACTCATAGAGACCTGATATAGGGTTTCCAAGGAGCAGCTGGTGGGTTTGAACCACTGACCTTGGGGGTAACAGTCCAGAGTTTATCCTACAGGTCTACACCGGGATCTATATAAATATGTGCTACAAATATATCCATGAATATAGCAGAGAACTCAAAGTTCTGGTTATGGTTAGCCATAACCAAGCATCTCAAGGGAATGAGTCACTAGACCTGGGGCACAGGACTATAGTAGTCTCAGGGGACATTAAGTTCAACTGGCATAAAGCAGATCACAAAGACAATGTTTTGCATCCTACTTTGGTGACTAGCAACCAGGGACTTAAAAGTTTATGAGCAGACTGTGCTGAAGACTGGGGGGTGAGGGAGGTGGGTAGTATAGGGGGCAGGCTTGCAGGGTATACCCTTTGATTGGTTGATGATGCATGGAGGGCATTGGAACCATGGCAATGAAATGATATACGATAGAATGAATGTAAAACTAATGTTCTCCCATGTAAACTGTCACATAATTCACAATAAAACATTTTTTAAAAAAGTTTATGAGCAGCCATCTAAGGTGCAACTATTGGTCTCTCCTCATCCAGAAACAAGAAGAGTAAAAAAAAAAAAAAATCAATGACACAAGGAAATAAGGAATCCAAAGGACTAACAGACCACATGAAACCCTGCCTCCATGATCATGAGACCAGAACTAGGTGGTGCTGACTGCTCTGAAAGGGATCACAAGAGGAAGTCCTGGATAGAGAGGGAGAAAATCATTAAAAACACCAGACTCCCTGGTCTGACTGGTGGGCCCCACTGGTAGGTGTCCTTATAAAAAGAGACACAGAGAGACAGTGATCGAGGGAAGATGAGGTCATACAATGGCAACAGAGATTGGAGTTACGCTACCACAGCTGCAGAACACCTGGGGCTGCTGGAAACTGGAAGAAACAAAGAAGGATCTTCCCTAAGAGCCTTCAGAGCGAGAGCATGGCCCTGCCAACACCATGGAATTTGAATATACAGAACTGTGAGCGAATACATTTCTGACGCTTTAAGTCATTCAAGTATGTGGTACTTTGTAATGCTGGCCTTAGGAAAACTAGCACAGGCCTTCCATCGGCAGCTGTTAATAGATGCAAGGGGGTTTCAAAAAGTTTCTGGGAAAATGGAATGAAATGATCATGGCAATTTTCCATGGACTTTTTGAAGTCCCCTCACATGCCTGTGCCCTTTATAAGCAGACAGTAGAGGGCGTTTAAAACACTTTTAGATTTAGCTACACATTTCCTGATCCACTTAATCTACAATCAGATGGGGGAGGGGCTATCAGAATGGAATGCTTTTGAAAAAAATCAAGATTTGTGCAGAAACCAGACTGAAGTAGCCACATTGCCCACAGCTAGTACGTCAGACTCATTAAAGTGGACGGCTGTCACTTACAAAGGAAGGCAGTTCCAGAAAACCTCAGGCCACCTGCCTCACTCACCAGCCCAACAGTCATTGACATAACACTTGCTTCCTTCCAGGAACTGACGTCCCATCATCCCACCAGGACTCCAGTTCAGCTGGAGACCTGCTTCCTCTCACAGCAGTCTGAGATGGGCACCAACTTTCCTCCAGGAGCAAGACGGCACGGCACCCAACGCCTGCCTGTAACAACTGTGGCCGCCCTGGGCTTTCTGATTTGGCCAAGGAGTCTTGGGTGTAAGAAGAGGACTCCCCTTAGGGCTGGACTGAGATGAACCCGAACTGCAAATGTGCATCTTATCTGGGTACCTGTCACTGTACTCTTGGTGGATGGCCACTCAAAGATGCAGTAAATGTGCCCCTCCTTCTCCACGCCGGTATGCACACTACTAATGAAATATTGCTACTCTTGGGCCTATTGTCAGGAACCAGTGTCTTCTCTCCAGCCCTGGACTAGTTTTGGGATCTAGTTCTTAACCCTTTTGGAGATTGCTCAGCTGCACAGAACCCTGGGTGGCTGGACCATATCAGTCAGGGCCTGGGATGTTGGGAATCAGATCTGCTCGGATCCCAGGTTGCACTGAGACGGCCTAGCTGGCAGAGTGGAGCCCTGTGGTGTGTTTGGAAGACACTAAAGCTTGCAGGAAAGGAGCTCTGGTGGAATTATGAGATAAGCATTGTCCTTGTAACCCAGTTGGCAGTTCAAACCCACCATACTACAAGAGACAAAGATGAGGCTGTCTGTTCCTATAAAGGCTTATAGTTTCAGAAATCCTATGCAGGGTCACTTTAAATCAGAATCGACTCAATGACAATAAGTTTGGGTGTTTTGGTATAGCTATTGGGAAGATGGAGCTCTGGTAGCATAGTGGTTACGAATCGGGCTGCTAACCTCAGGGTCAGCAGTTCGAAACTACCAGCTGCACCGCAGGAGAAAGATGAGGCTTTCTGCTTCCTTAAAGATTTACAGCCTCGGAAACCCTGTACAGGGTCGCTATGAGTCGGAACTGACTCCACGGCACATAACAACAACAATAACAACATTGGAAGGAAGAGAGGTAACTCAGAAGGCCCCTGCCACTGATCTGGCTGCTGTCTTTACAGGGAAAAGGCAGACAGTACTTCACAAGGAGCAGGCTGGAGGTGGCACAGCTCTTGTGTTGGGCCCAGAGTTCATCCTTTAGCTCCCACCCTGGGGTAGCTGGGAAGGCGTGCTCGGTGCACTCAGGGCAGTGTCTAATCACCACCCAGCTTGGAAGCATTACAGTGTTGTGATTGGTGGCACCCCTGGCCCCTGTCATGCCACATCTTCCATCTCTTCCAACGAGACAATTTCACACCCCAATGATACAACCAAAGCACTGGACTTTGGACAAAGAAGGCAAGGACTCACGACCCAGCTACTCTTTCAGGACGGAGTCTGTGAGCTGTGATCACAGCTGTGAACCACACAACTCCTGACACCCCCTCAGTGAGCAAAGGGGAACACAAAGGGTCTCTCACTGGCAGGGAAGAAGTACAAGGGAACTTGAAAAAGTTCATGGAAAAATGGAATTTGACAGATAATGGAATTTCTCCACAAACTTTTTGAAGGCCCCTTATACCTTCCTCCCAGCCAACCAGAGCTCATCGTGACTCATCAGGTTCCAGGGGACATGACTACAATGAATCTGAGAAGAGGTTGGAGCTTTCTACGAATTTCTAAGCTAAAAAAAAGTATACAAGGACTTTGTTGTTGTTAAGTGCCATCGAGTCAGTTCCGACCCATAGTGACCCTGTATAATAGGGTTTCTGAGGAACAGCTAATGAGCTTGAACCGCCGACCTAGCAGTTCAAACAGCTTCGCAGTCTGGCACGTTAACCCACAGAGCCACACCAGGACTCCTGAAAACACTAGTTTGGCAATCCACTGCTACCTAGTCCATTCCAACTCATAGCAGCCTTATGGGACAGGGAAGGACTTGCTCCTTAGGTTATCAATCTTCAGGGAAACGGATACCCTCATCTTTCTTCCCCAGAGCAAGTGTCTGGTGGGCTCAGACTGCCTAATACTTAACTCACTGCACCACCAGGATGCCACACTAGTCCACGGGTAGCAGTAATGTTCATAGAATGAGGCCCAGCTATAGTCTTTAAAGCTGCGTTCCTGGATAGGAAGCAAGCAGAAAAAGGAATTCTGAAGTCAGGGACATGGAACCCAGAGGATTCAAAACCAAGGTAGAGGGCTGACCAGAGGATCCCTGGAAGAGAGCTGGAGGGGAAGCATCAAACTTGTCCATTTGCTAGTGGTCTTCTTGGGCTATCTTGTCCATATTCTGAGTCCAAATCTTTTTATCAGTCTCCTTTATTTGAAGGAGGAATGGGAGAAGCTGTATCTCATGTGAATTAATATTGTTGTTAGATGTTGTCAAGTTGGTTCCAACTCATAGCAACCCTGTATAGGGTTTCCAAGGAGGGGCTGGTGAGTTTGAAATGCTGATCTTGTGGTTAGCAGGTCAGTGCTAATCCTACAATGCCACACCAGGACTCCTGAATTAATATTGTTGTTGTTAAGTGCTGTCGAGTGGGTTCTATATAGCAACCCTGTATAGAATTTCCAAGGAGAGGCTGGTGTGCTTGAACCTCCGGCCTTGCAGTTCAAACTGACCTTGCACTAACCAGAGCATTAACCCACAGCACCACACCAGGATTCCGAATTAAATTAGGAAATAAAAAAACAAATCTGCCACTCTCAGGCTGTAGTAGAAACGGGGTTTTAATATAATATTCAAGTCTAACATTTGCTATTTACAACAAATAAATATTGCCCCTCCCCAATCAGTAAACATTTTGTTTTTTTGCCTTTATACAAATATTCACTCCCCCTCATCCCCCCTCCTTCCCCCAGCCCTCCAGCCTCACTAGCCCCTTGTCCTGTACGGTCTCCAAGCCCAGAGGTGGTGGCACACGGCCATCACACCCATGGGACTCTCTCATGGGGTGAAGGGCATGGTCCATGAAGTGGGTCTGTCTCTCCTCTCCCGGGGAGGGTGGGGTAGGGGCGGGCGAGACTCCCTCACTCTCGGTTGGCCCTGACGATGGAATCTTTGGTGCAGCCTGAGAAAGGCTGGAGCGGTGGGAGGCAGGGCCAGCAGCCCTGGGAAGGTCACAGGCAGGTGCCCGTGGGCACGAGGAGAGAAGTGCAGTGGTCAGACTCGGTGGGGTGCCCGTGGGTACAGGTAGCAGTGACCTGCATCCACGAAGGCGTGAGGGATGTGTAGAGAGGGCAGTGCCCGGTGGTGGGCAGGGCACCACGCCTGTTGGCAGCGCTCCTTGGCTAAGGTTAGCTAGTCCTCTGGTTCCCAGGGAGCAGAAGGCACCTAAGGCAGCGAGTGGTCCACGGGGGTCCAGGTCAGCCTGTCAACTGGCAGGCGTCATGCCCAGCAGCAGGAGAGGATCAGTGGTAAAACTAGAGTCTGGGGCTGGCCTGGGCTGGCAGGTGGGGAGGGGTGTGCCTGCCCAGCCTGTACCCCTCTAGTCTGTAAGTGCTTCCCTACTTGGCCAGCCAGAGTGTGGCAAGGAAGGCCCTGTGGCTGGCCAGTGCCAGGGGCCACTTAGAAGATGCCCTTAGCGATCTTGAGTCCCTTCTGCTTCATGCGTGGAAGGGTCGAGCTAGCCCCGTGCTTGACCTTTGTTCCCTTGGTGAAAGTTCGCTTCTTCAGGACAAAGTCATAGTTGGCGGTAGAGTTCATGGCGTAGAAAACATTGGCATTGTCTGGGATCTTCAGTTCTGGTGGGAGAGGGGCAGAGAGGAGAGTCAGCTGTGCTCAGGAGGGGGCTGTGGGCCAGGCAGAGGATCTGATACCCCTACTACCTGGGAAGCCAGGCTTGAGTCAGAGGTTTGAGACCCCCAGTTCAGCTCCAGGACCACCAAGGACTCTCTCAATGATACCTGCATTGGGGAGGCCCTGATTAAAGTGAACTACTCTGGTTTATAAAGTAACTCTGGGGGCCTTCATCAAGCAAACCAACATGCACATTATGGAAGTCCCAAGAGGAGAGGAGAGGAAAAAAAGGGCAGAAAGAATATGTGAAGGAACAATGGCTGCAAAGTCCCCAAATCTGGTGAAATCCACAGAGCTTAACAAAAGTAGAAGAAACACAAAGAGTCATATTGATACAGTTCATCAAACCAAAATAGTGTAAGAAGATGAGCGAGGGTTAGAAAACAAGTTCTAGGGCTCATGGGTATAATTCCTTATTGTCTGGGCTAATGGCCAGGAGCTCTGTGGGATATGCATTGGCTGCTAACTGCAAGACTGCTGGTTCAAGCCCAATAGGCATTCCATGAGAAAAAGATGAGGCTGTCTGTTCCTATGAAGATTTACAGGCTCTGAAACCCTAAGGAGCAGTTCCACTCAGTCCTACAAGGTCACCATGAACAGGAATCAACTCGACAACAGAGGGTTCGGTTTTTTGGTTTAGTGGCTGGGAGTGATGACAATATTTACAGTGAACTCTTATGGCGTGCACACACACTATGTACTCTCAGCTATCCCAGTGGATTAACCCACTGACTGTTTTTCTCTCCACTCTGGGGAGAGAAAAACAGGCATAGAGAGTGTAGGAACTTGCCCAAGATCTCAGCATCCATGCTGCCCGGCTCCAAATGTGTGCAGTTTTCAAATACTGAATTGAGTTTCTAGGGCCTCCAAAGGGGACCAAGGAGACATTGTTTTCAGTATCATAAATGCATGTGTTCACAAACTTCCCCATCTTGGCCAGAGGTACCTTTGGAGATGCTGAGCCTGGGGGCCCAGGGCCCTAGAGCAAAAGCCCTGACTCTTGGTTCCTCAATGATTTTAGCTTTGAACTTGGAGCTTTGAACCTGGTTTCTCCCTGTCTGGTTCATGCCCAGGGAAGGGCAAATGACAGGGAGGAGACACGTAAACATCAGGGCTGCCCAGGTCAGATCCAGGTGGTGCACCAGGGGGTTGGCATAAACAGAGCCCACTCCCTGCCCCCTTCTCACTTCGATCCTCTGAGATGATCTGCACCAGCTCATAGTCATCTGGCTCGTCCTCATCCAGGTTGTGTTTGTCCATGGCCTTGCGGATCACCGTAGGCGCCTTGTCTTGGCTGGTTACCTGGAGTAGGGGCGAAAGACAGGCCATCAAGACAAGGGCTCTGAAGCTTTCTCACTCCAACTGGAGTGGCCCAGGACTATGGGGAGCTGACTTAGCACCTAAGCACAGTTTCCAGTCAGGTGTGGTAGGGTGATGGGCCCAGGGGGCCTCCCCACCTTCTACTCCCTGGGGAAGACCACCACCTAAAAGAGCCTGCCACCATTCCCCACAAGCCTCAGGAAACTATTTAACCCCAGGGCCACTACTACCCCTGATCCAGTCCCTCCAGGATAATAGTAATAATGACCCCAAGGAACAGTGAAGTCCAAGCCCAGTGTGTAAGAGCAGGAGCCACTTAGATGCCTACTGCGCACCAGTGTGCACTGGGTGGACCTCCAGCTACTTCGGCCCTGAGGACAAGGCAAGGCTTAGCTAGACTAAGGGTCATACAAGTGGCTGCTCAATCACAACTGTGTCAAGCTAGCTCCTAGTGCTGACAGGCACACAGTGCAGGAAGGGCGGGTAATGGGGCACTCAACCCCAATTCCATCCAGAACTTGACCACTGCTCTCCTCTATCTGGACAGTACAGCAGCCTCTGAGCACCAGCCCACCCCCACAGAGAGGCCAGTCACCTGCTGTCCCTCCTCTGTGCTCTGACCCCGTGCCCCCATCTCAACATGGAGAAAGCACAGAGGGCCTGATGCCACCCAGTCCCCTTCTCTGGCCTCATCTCTTACCCCTTGACCTCTGTACCTTCACCTCTGGACTCTCCGCTGCTCCAGCTTCCAGACACATGACCATCTCGGGCTCTTCTCAAGGGCTTTCTCCTGGTCACCCATCTCAACCCAGTACCCACGGTGCTAGGCGCTGACTGCCTCAAACACCATCCCCTCCACTTGTGCGCCTGGCTGGCTGACCACCCTTGCCAGCCCACTGCAGCGGCAGCTCGGGGAGGGCAGGGAGGGTCATGTCCCTCACTCACCAGGATGCTCTTGTACATGTTGCCGTTGTCGACATCTAGGCTGACACGGATGATACAGCAGTCGCCCACCTGCTGGTTGTAGAGTGGCAGTGAGGAGCTGTAGCTGCAGACCCCTGAGACAGAGCGCTTGTGGGTGCGTGTGGAGGCCACAGGTGTGGTGGAGGCCGAAGAGGACGAGGTACTACTGGAAGCTGAGCTGATGCCAGAGGTCTCCGGGGACGACTGGGAGGCTGACTCCCAGAACTGTGGGGGACAGCCAGGTCAGCCGAAGCCCCGTACCCTGTAGGGCACCTTAAGCTAATTTCTATTGCTGAGGGCTCTCCACCCCTTTTTGGGGGTGTGGAGTGGAGACGGTTGGCCCTGGGAAGCAGGGGCAGGGCTGTCAGAGAAGGAGTAGGCCTTCACCTTCTTTTCCTGGCAGTCGGGGGACTCCGGGACAAAGCTCATGTTGATTTCTTCCACATCAGAGCTGGAAGAGCCGGCAGAGTGCACACTGAGCACGTCGGCTGTGTCCCCACTGCTGAGGTAGGGGCCGCACTTGAGCTGGTCACAGGACTTGGAATGGCAGCTGCCGCTGGTAGTGAGTTCCGTGCTGGGGGCCTGGCGACTGAATGGGAGGGTCAGTTGATTGCCCACCCTCTCCACTGCCCCGCTACCACTGCACTCTGAGCAGCCTGGGATCAGTTAGCATCACCCCATTTCACAGGGGAGAAAACTGAGGCCCAGAGAGATGAGGTGACTAGCTCCGGTCATAGTGACCAGTCACAGGTCAACAGTAAAACCTTGAGGTCACACTCAGTCTCGGGGCTGCTTGGCCCTGCCCGCCCTGGCCAAGACACTCACTCGCTCCAGCGCTTGACGATGGCTGTGCTCTTCTTGGCCTTAAGAGTGTTGCTGGCGGACTCAGAGGGGGCTTCCAGTTCACAAGACAGGTTGTAGCTAAGGGACAGAACAATAGCTGTGAGGCTTGGAGGTCTCTCTCCTGTGGTCAAATATCACCAAGTCACAGGCTCCCGGGAGCTGGCCACTAGAGGGCGCCCCCTCTGCTCTTACCTCTCAGTCTCACTGAGTCGCTCCATGGCTCGGAACCAGGCCACAAAGTGCTCTTCAGGGGCGATGCTGTAATTGTTGCAGGCCGATTGGAGCAGCTTGATCTGAGCGATTACCTCAAATTCCTGCAGGCCAAGGGAAGATTGGGGTGCTGAGGGGCCCTGGCTCTGAGTCTTTCTGTGCTCATATGGCAGTTTCCTACTTTCAGACCCTACCCATTCTCAGAGTCTGGTTCCAACAACCCCTCCTCCAGGAAACTGCCCTGGATTTCACTCCCCAGAGGATCAGTTTTCCTCCTCCTGTGTGCATCATATGCTCCCCATAAATCTAAGACGGAAGATAGAGTGTCCTGCCCAGGTGGGGCTCCGATTCCCACCTCACACCCCACAGTGATGGCTGCAGCTGCTTACCTTCCTTCTCTTCTCAAAGTTGATCATTCTCCCCTGGAAGGTAGAACACCACCATCCATCAGAAAGGGTCCCCTAGGACATCTCCAGCAACCCTCACCCTGTTTCATGCTGTACTACTGTGAGGGCCCACCAGGGGCTTCAGAAAGTTCATGGAAAAATGGAATGGAAGACAATGGAATTTTTCCACGAATGTTTTGAAGCCCCTTCATATTCTGGACTTGGACCTAAGCCTGGTTCTTCTGGGTACAAAGGCAAGGAGGACTCAGTGCAGAAGCTCAAGGACCTTCTAGCTCAATCAGATGACAGAGTCTGGGCCTTGGGCAGGAAGACACTACCTGGGCACTCCCGTGTTGACCCTGGAGGGGCCAACTTCACTCTCCTGCCTGGGCCTCCACCTGAGGGAAGGGCTGTGTCCACCTCAGTCAAACCCTCATGCAGTTCTGCAGGCAGGCTGTTTGCTGCATTTCAGCCCAAGGCACCAGAACTAGAGGTTTCTGCCACGTCTCAGTTTACTCAATAAAATGGACATGACACCCTTAGGTCACAGGGGTGCTGTGCCAAGTGCCCAGTCAGGGGACCCGCTCCTCCCAAGCCCCAGGGTGCTCTCCCACCCCTATCACTCACATACAGATAATCCTTCATGGCTGTGTCCAGCATCACCAGGTCAGTGAGGAACGTGCCCAGGTAGGGAACAGTGCCCTGGATGACACCCTGAGACATGGAGGTGGGGTGAAGACGAGCACAGGCATTCAGTACATGTGAGGCCCTGTCCTGAACACTTCCAGTCCCCGAGTCCAAGTGCCTCACTTGGGGCAGCCTGGAGACCCTTAGATGCCTCCCCCCAAGTCTTCCTACTGGCCCCATGGATTCCAATTTCCCTCAGTCACCTCCCAGGGCTGACTTTTGGTAACTCACAAAAGTTGTGTAGTCTGTGTCTCTCCCCACCCCAAATCCACACTGGACCCAGCTCTTCCAGGCCCTGGCTCTGGCTGCCTACAACTCGTCCCACCAAGGTCCTAGCTGGTGCCGAACTGGCCTTCCCAGGACCCAGAGGCAGCCTTGTCCTGTGGAGGGAAGGCTGAAGGAAGTGATCCCTGCTCTGCCGACTGGAGGCTAGCCCCCATGCTCACCATGACCTCACACACTCACCAACTCCCTCTGCCGCTTCTGGGCTCTCCTGGGGTTCATCTCCAAGGTGGCGAACTTAGAGGTCCCTTCCTGTGGGGTCAAGGATGAGGTCACTAAAGCCGTCCTCACATACACCTGACACCTCTCAGATGGATCAAGCACTGCTAACACCTCCAGTGTGCTGACTTCAGATTCGAACCCCGTCTCCAAGCCTTTCTCTCAGTGGGCCTCTTCCCTCCCAGGGTCTCAGAAGTGGTATTTCGATTCTCACTGTGGTCATGGTCTCCCTGTCTTTTTCATACCCTCCACAAAGCTCAGGCACATTCCTTTTCTCCCTTGTACCTCATTACCACCTGGTGAAGTGACCAATCACACCACTGTCATCCCTCCATATTCCAGAAGGAACAGCCCCTGATGGGGGTGGGGAGGGACGGACTAATTCAAGCCCCTCAAGGAGTCAGGGGAGAGTTGAGCTCCTCCCTTTTGGCCAGAGGCCCTGTCCCAGCTACCTTCAGCCCACCCCACCCTCACCTGCCTGAAGGCCTCCTTGAACAGCTCCTGCCTGCCCCAGGCCAGACCTGAGACCATGCCAAAGGCTTCATCTCCCCAGGAAGTTCCCCATGCAGTGAGCTCTGTTTGTGTTCACTCAGGAGGGGTCGCTGGAGCAGCTCTTGTATGTGAATAAAGCCACTAAGCCCCCCCACTCACCCCAGAAGTCCTATGGGCAGATAAGAAAGTCTTTGCTGGTGTCATGTTGTGGTGAGGAGCTGGGGCTGATGGACAATGTCTGCTCTGGGGGGAGACTGGGGGGTGGGGAGGCAGAATGCAGGTCTATCTGCCTCCCAGGTCCCACTACTTAGACCCAAGATTGGGCTACCCTTCTGGTCACCTGGCCCATGGGAATCCCCTTGCAGTCCCCACCTCTGGTAGAGGCAGGGTGGCCCTCCCTTGGATGAGCAGTGCAGAGCAGAGAAGCACAGGAGTCTGGCTACAGGAGGAAAGAAGGGACGACCCCACCTAGAAACCCAATCCATCCAATCGCCTGGAGCACGCTCAGTGCAAGCCAGAGAGCTGCTAATTCTGCCAGTTCATCAACCTCTCCAGGAACAGCCCAGCCGCCACCACTGGATCAAATTACCAGGGGCCTCCTGCCCCTCAACTGCCCCCACATGCCCAGGGACCAAACCGATCCCTCTTCCTAAGCCAGACAAAACAGGCCTGGATGTTTTCAAAGAAACTTTCAGGAACAAACTAACAACCCCCCACCAGCCCAGCTCCATGCAGGGCCCACCCCCAGCCTCCCAGTCCCCCCTTTACCTTGATGAGCAGTTCTCGGCTCAGGGAGTAGTTGTTCTCATCTGAGAAAATCTCAGACAGCTTTTGAAAGATTCGGACGCTTTCCCTGGAAGGATGGGAACGGTGGGAAGGGGTGTTAAGTACAAGCCCATCTTATTTTAGAACTCAAGGAATCTGCAGCACCTGGATAAGTGGTTTTCAAACTAGGTTCCTCTGAACCCCTGTGGGCTGCTATAAAGGAGCTCTGGTGGCACTCTGGGTTAGGCATTGGGCTGCTAACCACAAGGTCAGAGGTTCAAGCCCCCCAGCCACTCCTCGGGAGAAAAATGAGGCTGTCTGCTCTTGTAAAGATTTATTGTCTCAGAAACTCTGTAATGGGGTCATGAAAAGTCAGAATTGACTCAATGGCAATGGGTCTGGTGTGGCTTTTTGTCTCCAAATCAACAGAGCAGCTGTGATTTCAGAAGGACAAAGAGCTGGGTGTAGTAAAAAACTTGAAAATCTTTTATTTGGCTCAAGCCTGTATCTGACAGATCTGGAAAGTGAAGCCTGAGGCAGAACTGCTGGCCTAAGGTCACACGGAGACTTGGAGACCTGGCCCTGGGGGAGGCCCTGGGTGTAGCCTGGTGTTTCCACCCACCTGGAAACTTCTTCCCAAGTCTTCTTCAGACGGTGAATCGAATTGCTCTGCAGAGCGGAGAGGACGGCGTGGAGAGATGAGAAGTTCTTGAGGATCCGACACTCCTGGGGGAGGGGAAAGAATGAGCTGGAGCTCCCCACCCCCCCCACCCCCCGCCCCCAGCAGCTGACCTCTCCCCTCCCCCATCCAGAGGGTCCCCTGGGCATACCCTGGCCACCTCAATCCAGTGCTCCACCACCCTGGCCCTGTCTGGGGCCTTCATGTTCCGGTCCCCCAGGCAGGTGGTGATGACGCAGTTGGCCACGCTGTTGAATTGGGTGACGGTGGCACGGATGGTGGGTGCCAGGTGCTCCTTGCCCTTTTTGTCCCTCTGGGACCAGATGGAGCCCAGGCAGTGATAGGGCACCACCTTCTTGAACAGTTCCTGGGGGGGACAAGGAATGCCACTGTCCCTGCCTGCCCCAGTATAGCCCACACTCCCCCAATGCTCAGGCTGGGGCCCAGTAGTCTGAGCAACGTGAGGATCTCTCTACCCACTGGGGGAGCCCAGAACCCCATGATGGCGAAAAGAGAGGCATTTTCACTCAGCCCCTCCTCATTAATCAGGAACCACAGGGTGGGACGTCTGCTGACCCTGATGTCTGCTAGTCTGTCTCCCAGTTTAGATAACCAGAGTCTAGTGGCCATTGGAGGCCCAGGTAGATGGGTGGGTGGCCCATGGGCCAAGCTGCATATCAGAGCGCCCCATGAGGGACTACGGTCCACCGAGCTTCACTTTGTTCTGTCTCATTCAATCACACTCCTCTGAGCAACACAGTTGCATCCCAGTTCTACTGTCCAGAGGTGGGAAACCAGACTGTGGGGGAAAAAGTTGCCCAGGAAAGTGGTAGAGCTAGAATTGCACCCAGAACATTGGACTCCATCAGTGTAAACGGCTCTGCCACCAGCTCAGGCTATGGTAGGTCGAGGGCAGCAGATGGCAGAAGGCAGGCCCACCCTGTGAAGGCCAGCTGCTCACCGCATCCATCAGTGTAAACTGCTCTGCCACCAGTTCTGGGGGGAACGCCAGGACATTAGGCTTCTCCTGGCTCAGCCCATTCTCTGTCGTCACAGGGGAGGTACCGGAAGATTCTGGTGCTGAAGCTGAAGCTGAGGCTGGAGTGAGAGCAGAAGCTGGCGCTAGCTCTAGAATTGGCTCTGGCTCTGGCTCTAAAGCTGGACCTGACTCTATTTCTGGAGCTGGAGCTGGAGCTGGAGCTGGCAGTAGTTCTGGAGTTGGCAGTAGAGCTTGTGTTGGATCTGGAAAAGAAAAAAAAAACCTTTACTGATATGATCACCTTGTCTTCCAAAAGCAGAAACCATCCCATTCGCCATGAAGAGAAACCCAAGCCCATGATGAAGTCCACCCCAGGAAATCTTCCCAGACTGCAGTCCACTGGATGAGTGAGTGGTCTGAGGCTAGTTACTCCTAGCTCTGGCCCAACACCAATCTCTGGAAGATCCTCTTCCTATAGTTCACTGGTACCCACCCCAATTCTCCTCACCCTCTTGCTCAGCTTCAGTGGGCTCTGAGTGCTCCAGCTGAGCCAGGAGGAGGTCAGCACGGCGTTCCAGGTCTGAGCCAGGCATGTTGAGCTGCACATAGGCCACCAGTTGCTTGAGGCATGGAAAATCCGGAGGCTGACAGAAATCCTCCGAATACTGGTCCAGCCAGGTGCCCAGGATGGAGGAGATGGCACTGGAGAGTAGGTAGACAGGCAGCATGGTCAGCAGTCTGGTCTTTCCTGCCATGCTGCTGCCCTCCCATGGCACCCCTGTCCCTGTCTTGGAGAGGTCAGTCCAGTGCTGCTTCCCAAACCCGCTTCATCTGTCGTGGCAGTGGTAGGCCTGGTCACTGAGCAGGGGGGCTAGCAAAGGAGCCTCAATCCTAGGAAGCTCTTGATCAATGATCTGACCAACTCTCCCCTGTCTGAGGGAAGGCTGACATAGTCCCCTGTCTCCTCTGGTCCTCTCCCACTAGCCAGTAACACCAGGAGGGAAGGAGAGGCTGTCTGTCTGCTTGTTCATTTACAGGGTGCTGACATAGTGTGTGCTCTGCTAATATCTGATAGACGAGAGTACACACAGAGTCTTTCCTTGTCTGTGCTTTCTCCAGGCTCTGGTGGAACCCAAACCTGCAGTTTACAAGCCAAACTGCTGTCTTATGCATTGTGTGCCTGTGTGGTTCTCTTCCTATAAATCTAACCTCCCGGAGGGCAGGAAGCCAGCCACCCCATCTGGCATGCAACTGACACGGACATTTGGGAGCAGGCTGCTCATCATGCCTCCTATTCTGGAGCCTGGGATTGGGGAGGGGTACAAGTAGAGTAGGGGGTGGGACCATGGGGAGACGGACTCTCTCAGGATCTGAGCCTCCAGCCCCTTTCTAGTCCCACGACAGCTGGGGCTCTATCCACAACTCTCTCTGACTACTTTACTTTTGCTGGGGTAAGTCCCTAGGATTCATTCCTCTAAGAGGGATCCTAAGATGTATAGGACTCAGGCACACCCTTCCCCACCAGACCTCCACTCTTCTGTGGAGACCAGGGTCCCTCTTCTTCTAGACGGGAAGTCCACTCACTTTTTAAGCTGATCCTCAGGTCCACCGTCCTCATCAGAATATGGAAGGATGCATCCGTATCTAGAGGAGGCCGTGAGGGCGTCACATCTACCGTACCTGCTTACGATGTCTAGTGTTACTGTCTGACTCCCCGACTAGAATGGAAGCCCAGGAGGGCAGGGGTTTGGGTCTGCATAATAAATATTTACTGAGTGGATGAAACCCCACAGCACCTTCCCAGATATTGGAATGGGCCTGGGGCCTCTCTTATCAGCCCCCAGAGAGCCCTGCTCTGGCTACACCAAGCACAGGGACTCACTAGATGGAAATCTTTAATCTCCTTCACAAGTGGGAAAATAGGTTTGCCCAAGGCCAAGGGGGTCAGTGAGGGGGAGGCAGAGAGTTTCTTTATGGGTAAGGGGGCATGAGGAGGGCGAGGAAAATAAGAAACATGAACCATCCCCAACCCCTCCAGCAGGATTCTTCACAGAGCCAGGTTCTGTGTGAGCTTTTGCCATGTCATGTCCCACTTATCCTTACCACCACCTGAGGACGTGGGTCCTCTTAGCCACGTAGCAAGCCAACAGAGAGGAAGGGGCATTCCCAAACACCCAGCTCATAGGTGGCAGAGCAGCCGCTATGCTGTGGAAGGGTCAAGGTGCTCACCTTTTGAACAGCAGGTCCAGGACCTGTTGGGTGGTGGCGAAGGCTCGGTAGGTGCACAGGAAGATGGTGACATAGGAGAGGTCACTGCCCTGGAAGGCAGGCACCAGGTGCTCCACCAGCTTCTCCAGTGTGCCTGCCTTGACTGCCCGCACTTTACAGGTCTCATACAGGTTCAGGGCCGACTCATTTTCATACTGGGGGTGGAGCAGAGGAGGACACAGTCGGTGCCAGCATCATGGACTATCAGGAAGGTCAGGAACTGACAGGAGCTCAGGGCAGAAACTCCCAGGCCCTCAGGGCCTTAAGGCAACATGTGGAACAGGAGTGGCTCCAGCAGAAAGAGGTGCTGGACTCTGAGGTGGAGGAATGATGAAAGTAGTCCTATCTTCAAGTCATTTTGTTAGCTGAATAACCACAGTTGTTGTTAAATGCACTGAGTCTGTTCCGACTCACAGCAGCAACCCTGTATAAGGTTTCCGAGGCAAAGCTGGTGGATTTGAACCACACATCTTGCGGTCCAGTGCTTATCCTATAGTGCCAGTACTCCTCTGTATCAACAGCCTGCCAAAAGCATTATTTCAGGGAGCGCTTATGAAGTTTCCCCATTATGGTGGTGGTTATGTGCCGTGGAGGCGGTTCCAACTCATGGCGACCCTGCATAGGGTTTCCGAGGCTGTAAATCTTTACGGGAGCAGACCGCCTCATCTTTTTCCCACGGAACTGTTGGTAGTTTCAAACTGCTGACCGTGAGGTGAACAGCCTGACTTGTAAACACTACGCTATGAGAAAACAGGCCAGAGGCATATGAAAGTCAAATGGCTGCTCAGGGTCACACGGGTCAGACCCCAGAGCAATCCAATACAAGTGCACTGTGATAATCCCTCTCTGCTTGGTGAGGCTACGTCTATTGCTGACATAGAGGGAAGTATCCCAGTTTGAAGACATGCAGAGCAAACACACCCATGGGGTTCCTTTAGATGGCAAAGCAAGACACTTAATTTTTCTTTCTTTGACATTAAAGGGAATTTGAAGACCTGAAGCTATGGTGACCCTGTAAAAGGGCAAATGTGTGGAGAGTCTAGAGTGGGAGACAGGGCCTGGCAGGGCTAAGGATATGAAGACAACTTGGGAGAGAAAATCCAAAAGGCTACGAAACAAAGGAAAGGTGGGTATATTGTAAATCAGAGCAAGATTGTAAATCAGAGCAAGACTGACTGTTTGCCACTGGGTTGGGAAACATTAAAAAAGAATGGTAATACCCGGGGCCAGGCAGGATGTTGGTGGCCATGGGCTGCTCCCACTGATTTTGAAAGTTGTCTGACTCCCACAATTATTATTGTCATGTCAATATACTCCCCCTTCAGCCCAGCAACCCACCTTTCCTGGGTGTCTGTCCTGAGGGGTGGGGAGGGTGTCAGTATATTTGTTGTTGTTGTTGTTATGTGCCATCGAGTCGGTACCAACTCATAGCGACCTTATGCACAGCAGAACGAAACACTGCCTGATCCTGGGCCAACCTCACTATCGTTGCCACGCTTGAGCCCATCGATGCTGTCACTTGGCCAGTCCATCTTTCTGGGGGTCTTCCTCTTTTTCTCTGACCCTTCACCTTACCAAACATATCATTCTCCAGTGACTGCTCCCTCCTGACAATATGTCCAAAGTATGAGAGACGAAGTTTGGCCATCCTGGCCTCCAAGGAACACTCTGGCTGCACTTCTTCCAACACAGATCTGTTGGTTCTTTTGGCAGCCCATGGCACTTTCAATATTCTCCTCCAACAGCACAACTCAAAAGCATCAATTCTTCTACGGTCTTCCTTATTCAATGTCCAGCTTTCACATGCATATGAGATTATTGAAAATACCATGGCTTGGGTCAGGTGCACCTTAGTCCTCAAGCTGACATCTTTGTTCTTCAACACTTTAAAAAGGTCTTGTGCAGCAGATTTGCCTAATGCAATACGTCATTTAATCTCTTGACTGCTGCTTCTGTGAGTGTTGATAGTTGATCAAAGAAGAATGAAGTCCTTGATAACTTCAATCTTTTCTCAGTTGATAAGAATGTTGTTTATTGGGCCGGTGATGAGGATTTTTGTTTTCTTTACATTGAGATGTAAACCATACTGAAGGCTGTGCTTTTTGATCTTCATCAGTAAATATTTTAAGTCTTCTTCACTTTCAGCAAGCAAGGCTGAAAGCAGAGAATATCAGAAAGATGTTTATCTGTGCTTTATTGACTACGCAAAGGCTTTCAATTGTGTGGATCATGACAAGCTATGGCCAACATTGCAAAGTATGAGTATTCCGAAATGCTTAATTGTGCTCATGAGGAAACTCGTACATGGACCAAGAGGCAGTTGTTCAAACAGAACATGGGAATACTGAATGGTTTAAAATTAAGAAAGGTGTGCAACAGGGTTGTATTCTTTCACCATACTTATTCAACCTTTATGCTGAGCAAATAATCTGAAAAGCTGGGTTATATGAAGAAAAATGTGGCATCAGGATAGGAGGAAGTCAGTACATTAGGATTGGATATTCAGCACTGCTGAGATGGCATCAGAAAGGAATTGGAATCACTGTGGTAACAAGAACATTTTTCTGGAACAATCAGCATCCAAATTAGACCTCATTTCCTGACCTGGAGGGGTCTATCATGGTATAAGCTCCCACCCTTTTTGAATATACACAGTCTACTAAATGTGATGATTTGTAAGACTCGCAGAAGGACACTTAAGCAGGATACCTGGGATCAGGGGGTGAAAACAGTAGCAAAATGCAAAACTCTTCATGGATTAATATGAAGTGAAAACAGTATAAACGTCCTTTTCTAACGTACTTGCATATTTGGGGAAAATGGCTTTGTCTGACCAAAGCTGAGGCTGGGTGGCAGGCATGTGGAAGGAGGAAGGGATGGTGACAGGATCCCACTGGGAGAGACTGTGGACTATTTAAGAGGGAAAGTCCATGAAGGAAGCCCACCGGGGTTAGTTAGCCTGGGTCCCTCTGCAGCCATCTGGGCGAGGCTGGGTGTGGAGACCCTGCTGTCCCTGCACTTACCCCAAGCCAGCGCTGGCCTTTGTTGGCAGCATGGTGTACTGGTCCCTTGCGTAGGGAGATGGTATAGATGACCCCGTTGACCAGCTCCTCACCAATCTCCTGCGTGGAGCTCTGCAAAGACAGTGCCCGGCAGCCGGGCCAGGAGACATCAAGGGCCTATCTGGATGTTGCCACAGGCACAATTTTCCAGCTCAGGCCCAGACAGGTGTGCAGCCTTAGAAGAAATGAGTTAACAGCTTGATAGCTCAGAATTAACATCAGGGTAGATGGGTGTTGCCCCCAGCACATGCCTTCCCACCCTACCAGCTATGACCTGGGGATGTGAAATACTCATCCAGACATTTCACAGGTGGGTATGTAGAGGCTGGGAAACCAGCTACCTATTCAAGGTCATGCTGATGAAGGTCAATGATGAGGATGAAATTTCAAGGCCCAGACACAGCCAGCTACGCCTAGCAGGCTATGGCCTACTGAGAAGACACGGACCCTGGATCAGAGACCCTGTGGCCATCGTCACACTTGCTCGAGGGCTCCTGGGCTGACCCATCAGGAAAAGGCAGCTCTTCCTAGTCACCCAACCTAGAGTCAGCGTCACGGGTCTGGGGCAGGTGTGGGGTGTCCCCACAGCCACATCCGAGGCCACTTCCTTCCCCTTCTGCTCATTCATGCCCTTGTGCCCACTTGGGTAACAGAGGAGTTCCCAGTTCCCATTTACCACGTGCATGGGTTAGGTTGTGAAATGTGACAGTCCTGAGATCATGCTGAATGCTGGGGGTTCCAAGGAACCCCCAAATCACAGGGCCTAGCATGGACAGTAGGGGAGGGAGAGAATCCTCAGGCCCTTGTTCATGTAAACGAGCAGCCTGGCCACACGGCCATGGCCGCCTGGACTTTACAGAGCTTATCCCACTACTGTCTGTCCCGGGAAGGAGGGAGCTTGAGGGTAGGGGCAAAGATATCAACCTCTCAGAGTTACAGAAGGAATGTGAAGTGCTAGTCCAACAGCTAGGGTTGGGGTACACTCCCTCAACACAGGGCGAGTGTGGTGTTCAGAGAAGATTCAGATGTAAGTGCAGCCTTAGCCTGGGACTCACCAGTGGTCTCTTCCCTAAAGCCTTCAGCCTAAGCTAGGTCTTCTTGGTGGGGACCCAGGTGCCCAGCATAATATGGACTGTATCCCCCACCTTTCCCATTGTCAGCATGGCTGGGGTCAGAGGTCCAGGGTCTGGCCCTCTCACCTCCTGCCTACCCACTTCCTCCAGAAATCATTTCCTGACACAGCCCCCTAGACCCCCCCCCAACCCACTCTGGGCTTCTTACCAACAGGAAAGCTGCTGAAATACCACTTGGCTGCTGACCCTCTGCCTCCTCTGGAGAGAGAACCGGCCCCATTTCTTGGAAGTTAGCAGGGAAACCACAGGCAGAGAGGTCTCCCGAGCAACAGCCCGCACACACGCCTTGCAACCCACACTTGGTGGTGGTCCAGCCCTTCCACCGAGGATGGGAAATTCCTACTTCTGATGCAGAAAAACTGAAACATATGCCCGCTTTCCTTTTCCTGCCTCACACATGCCACCTCTGACTAGAAAACCAGCCCTCTGGATCAGGGTCCCATCTGCCCCACCATCTCTGCAAGGATTTGAGCTTGTCTCCTACAAAGGCCAAAGGGTCTCTTCCATCTGGCCCAGCTGGAAGGTCCCTAAGTGATACAAACAGCTTAAACTTGATGATGAACCAAATGGTTAGTGGTTTGAGTCCACCCAACAGTGCCAAGGAAGGAAAGTCTGGCAATCTGCGTCTGTAAAGACTACAGCCGAGAAATCCTGTTCACTCTGTAACGCATGAGGTCACTCTGAGTCAGGACTGACTTGATAGCAATGGTTTGTTTTTTTCGGACCCGCTGGGAGTCAGACAATATCTCAGCAGCAGTTTGTTTGTGAGATCCACTTGACCCTCAGGAGCCCAGCACAGCACCTGGTTCCCAGAAAAGCTCTATCAATGCTGTCAGATGGAAGTAATTCCTGGGCGTGGCTGGACAGGCCACCCCACAGGAGAAACTAGGGCCAGCGGCCTTGCCATTCCATAGCAAGTCTAAGTAGTGGCTTGTCAGGGAGCTACAGTGAGCTACAGCTCTCCACTTGCAGCTGAGCAGCTGGCTCAGCCCTGCACGGCTGCCATGTGATTCCTGTGCGCCCCACCCCCCACCCCCATGGCCCCCTCTGCCAGCTTGGCAGAGGGCCAGGCGGGCCGCTGAGAGTCACACATGCCTGGGATGGAAGAGTTTGGACCAGCGTCACCACCCTGTCTGGCAGATGGGAAGCTGCTCCTAGCTGTGTGGAGCTAAGGCTGCTCTGTCTGCTAATAGCAGCAGCACCAACAACAGACCTTGATGAGAATACTCAGTGTGGCTCCACTGAGACCTGCACAGGCAGGAAGTGGCAGCCTGGGGCATCTGTACCCTGGTCTAACTTCCTTCCAGGAACAGAGAAGGAATAGCCACCAGCCCTGGCTTCTGCAATCAGGACCGTCTAGTGTATGCAGACAAACGGAACCACTGGGCCATTCTACAGCAAGCCAGCCCAGGAGCAGGCAGCGCACCTGCGTCCTCCAGGGATACTCTGGCAGTGCTGGAAGCATGGAGGGGAGGTCTAGTAAACCGCTGAGGGGGAGAAAATGCCTCCCACCTGGGGGGGGGGGGGAAGGGAACACACACACACACACACATGCACAGCATCCGGCTGCTCTGAGCTGTTTGAGAAAAGACAGGTCACATGGTTGGCTGTGTCCTCAGGGGGACGGATCCTCGGGTCCTACCCCCACTAGGCACACGCTGATGTTCCAGAGCCCTCGGACCCAGTCATAGGCATGTCTCTAAACATACTGCCTTCCCACACCACACTATGGTCAAGGAAAGTGTGGAGCGAGGTCCCTGCAGGGCACTGAAAGGGGAGGGGGCAGCAGAATGAGCACCCTGGCACCTCCACACGCTGTCCCTGGGTGCACAGCTAGAGCCTAAGGACGGACAAGTAGGGAAATAGGGCCTGGGTGGTATCTGGTTAGTGTGTCACCAGATCAGCCTTCTCACAGTGACAGGCTGTGTCCCTGGCTGACAGACAGAGAGAGGAAGCAGCAGGCTAAATCCTAATCCCCTCCAAGTAGAACAATGGGACCCTGGTTTCAGGACAGGCCTCAGTGACCTACTGAGCCTCTCCCCAGCTCTGCCACCTCCCCAACACAGGGCCTCCAGGACACCTGCCACCGACAGGGATGAGCTCCTCCTGAAAGACCTGGCCGAGGGCTGCAGCACAAGGAAGGGGAGAACAAGCTTGCTCGGAAGTTTCCTCCCCATCCTGTCCCTCCAGGGCCACCAGTGCAGAGGCTGCCCTGCCCCGACCCCCGTGGGTGGACAAGAGCCAAATCATGCATGATGTCACCAGCTCAGGTACCTCACTGCACCCACTGAGGCACCCAGGTCACCCTGCAGCCCTGGGTCCATGAGGCCCCTTCTCCAGGACCCACCAACCCTCATGGAGGGCTCTCTCCAAAGCCCATCAGCCTTGGCCTCAGTGAACCCATCTGTGAAAAAGGGAGAGCAGCAGCAGCTTCTAAGAGGGCAGCTGTGAGAGTCCAATAAAGCAAGCACCCAGTGAGCAAGGCCTGGTGATGTGGAACAGCTGACATGCCACAGCTTCCAGGACAGAGAACCAACCCTGAGCAGGAAACCAGGAGGCTCTGGGAGCCAGAAGGATGGGTCTCCCTTGAGCACTGCAGGCAATGAACTCAACCGCTTTCTTTTGCTGGAATGCCAAGGCCAAAACGTGGAACAATTCAGAGAGGGCAGCTCACCTGCTATGGAATTCCAAACTCCCAGAACAGAGTTTGGGCAACCTCCCCATTTTATGAAGTCCTGATGTGGCGCTGTGAAGCAGGTGTTGACTGGGCCAGGCAGTGTATCCTAGTCAGGCCAAGGCCCAGGCCTGCCACTGCCCCCCAAGTGCCAACACAGGTGCTAAACACCAGGGCCACTGGCACCTGTCACAAAACACAAATCTTGACAGCCACGGTCTGTCGGGCTCTGACTGGGCTAAGTACTATGTGGAATGCTTGTTACACTGCTTGTTTCATCTGTGCTCCCCAGACTCCTAGGAAGATCAGCATCATGTCTATTTTACAGATGAGGAGACTGAGACATGGAGAGCTGAAGTAGGTCTAGGGTCATGCCAGCATTCTGGTACAGCAGCTCCCTTCCCTCTAGAGTTCAAGCTCTTGACCACCATGCCCAACACTGCCTCTAGAAACACTTGCAGCATCCAATGGCTCCTATGGGAGAGGAAGAGCCAACACAACACCCACACCCGATAACTTTTCAAGTGCAGTTCCTTGCTCCCTGTCTTCCTGCCATGCTCACCAAGCAACCTGCTAGCTCCAATCCTACTCAGCAATTCCTGCACTAGGCCCCAGGTTTCAACTTTCGTCTTCTGAACTGGACTACGGGGAGTTGCTCTGCTGGGCCTGCGTGTCTGGGAACACGGCGTTTCTGGGCCTGTAAGGCCGGAGCCTGACCTGGAACAGGGTGGCCACACCACATAGCATCATGCTGTGGGAGCCATCTGGGCACGCAGCCTCCTGAAACTGACCCCACTTCCTCCTTTGGTGCCTGCTGAATCGGGCCCCAGACCCCGTTTTCCAGCATGGGGCCATGTTGAGGGTATGCAAGGGGTTCCCAGAGCAAAGCCTGGAAACCTCCAGGCTAAGGTTCAGCTCCCAGCCTTGCCTCCGGCCACCCACTCCAGTCCCAGGGCCACCCTGAACCTCCTGAGAAATAGCCCAGCACACCTAAGTATCTCTTATCTGAAGACTTGTGGCTTGTCCTCCAGGAACAAGGGCCCAGTACTAGCCAGCCTGACTGCCCCCTTCTTCTCCAGGGACCCCAGAGGAATGAAGCAAAAGGAGCTCATGGGGGCTCTGCAGAGAAAGTCCCCACCTGAATGTGACAGTCCCAACAGTTCCTGGGGCCAAAAGGCCCTCCTCACAGATTACAAAACATATTACATGTTATAAAGCATACAAACACAGGCAGACACACCACTTCAGACACTCTTCTCAGGCCTCCAATATCAAAGGTGCTAATGAGCTCTGGAGGCTCAATGAAATCTGTACACAGTATGGCCAAGAGAGCAGACAAGCAAGAAGAAGGCAGGGGATGGGGTTAGGGAAATAGGGAGACACCCTCTCTCCCCTGGGAAGCTTCCCCTGAAAGTCTAGAAGCCCTCCACATCCTTGACAGCTAGCTCTACCCTATCCCTGTCTGCTTACAGTAGGCCCCCAACAAAGAACACAGCCTGTCCGAATCCCAGCTGCGTCATTTCTTGCCACGTATGCTTTAAGATCAGGAGCTTGTCCTCTCTGACCCTCAGTTTCCCATCAAGTGGACTGGTAACTACTCTAAAGGGTTGGTTTAGCCCGATGGAATGAGCTGACAGTGTCTGCAGCCAGCAGGTGCTACAGAGTTGAGCACCTCTCACCGGGCTAAGGGAGTGGTCTGTCTGGATACTGAGACAGGGATAGGTGACCTAAGAAAGCCCAGAACCGCTCAGCCAAGCTGAGTCAGGCTTGGTTAGAATCGAGATTATTTGGGTAATTAGAACAGAGAATGAGGACTAGATGATGAGCAGATGCCCAGATGTACGCCGACATCTGGCAGCCCCTGAGAGGGAAGGACTGGGCGGAAGCTTGGTAGGAAAATGGGGAGGGGGCAGGGAAGGCAGACAGTGCCTGGTGATTTCCCAGAGGGGACAGGGACCACAAGCAGTGACGCTGGACTCTGGCACGCTGCAGCAGCTAGGAAATCAGCCCCAGGATGGGGTAGGAGGGGTGGGGAGGATGGGGGGGTGGAATTTGTTGGCAGGAGAGACAGGGACTTCCCCGCCCCCTTTCCAGGGCCCATAGTAAATGGTCACTGTGTTTGGTTTCCGGCAGTGGCCTTCTCTTCTGCCAGGACCCTGGCTTTCCTGCCCCAGCCAGAAGCTTCCCTTTTGATTTCTAAACAGCAGCCACGGTCTGGATCCCTGCACTGAGGCCGGATGAGGGAGACAAGTAGTGAGAGAGATAGCAGGCAGATGCCTGGGCAGGGAAGGAGCCTGAGCTCTGACCTGCCTCTTAACTCGGGTTCCTTGGGGAGGATGGTCAGAAAGAGAGATACAGAGAGGGGTGGGGGTGGGGAGTGGCCGAGTCCCACCCACTCCAGCTAGGAACCTGCAGGGGGGCCCCTGTGTGAAGCCAGGCAGGGCCCTCCCAGCACACAAAGCCAGAGTTGCTGCCAGATATAATGAAAACCAGATGAGCATGGGGCTGGTGTCAGGCTCCTACCTCCCCTCCTCCTGGGGGTCCCATCCCAGCTGCAAATGAGGACTGCAGCTCCTAGTGAATGAGCGATGGGAGCATGCCTGGCATTACCACCTGCCAAGCTCAGGAGTCTCTCAGTCCTGAGTTCCCCCTCCAAGAGCCCTACGTGCTTCCTATCTAAGAGTACCCCCTACACACACACACACACACACATCCTCTTGCCCACATCTCAAGCAAGGCAGGGAGACAAACTGCAAATACGCGTCCAGACACTGCAGATAAACAGAGACACAGGACCTAGGCTCTCAGGAGCTCAGCAATTTCTGGCTATTTCAATGCACTGTGGCCTACAGTTATGAAGAGGCTGGGGGACCATCAAAAGGGTCCTACCAGCATGAGGGGCAGGAGGTTCATTGTTAAGTCTTGGCCCAGACACTGACTAAACATCCTCTGAATCCCTGGCCCCCGGGAAGGCCTCAGTCTAGGTCCCATACAGAGTGGATGTGGTGGCTGGACAATTTGATACCTCCACTACACAGGAGCCAGAACAGCGTCTGGCAGGAGGCACAGGACATCTCCACGTGACCTGTGATCCCCCTGCCCAGGGTACACTATAAACACAAGAGTCCCTGGCCCTCCCTCAGCTACCTCCGCCCCCATCCATGACAGACACATACACACTCCCTCTTCCAAATCCTGACAAATTTTGGGTGTCGACACATTTTCTCATCAAGTAAAATGAGTCACCTCATTGGCCTGAAAGGACCACGGTCCCTCACTGCCTGGACACCTGGCTCCACATTTTGGAGTTCTGCACCCCCAAACCCTGATGTCTCCCTGGTCATCAGATCCACACTGGCCTCAGGGGACTCTGGAAGGACCCTGTGGTTCCAATTGTCTTTGAGGATTCTAGGATTCTGCAATCCTAGCTATCTGTTATCTTCACTGGGAAGCCTAATAGTCCCTCATGCTGTTCATCTCCCACCCCCACCCCAGGGAGGTGAAATAGGACCCAGCCCCTGGAAACAGGGAGTTCACAGGCCACTGCCCTAAACACTGACAGCACAGGGTTGAGGGTCGGGGTGGGGAGTCTACTCTGTGATGCAGCAGATCGCCTGGGCTGGTGAGGGCAGGCCCTCGTATGAGGAGGGGACATAAAAACCCAGCTCTGGCCCCTAAACTGTTGAATGAATGTGCTGGTAGCCCCCATGCCCACTTTGCTGTCTTGAAGATTGAGCAAAGATGTAGATTTTTGTGGAAAGACCCTCTACGCACCTATACTGAAGAGGGTGGCTAGCTAAGGAGGAATGGGCCCCCTTCTATTAGCTCGTATCAGCCTCCCTTTGCCGCTTCGCATACGCCCCCCATCTTGGGCTGGCTTTGGGCCCGCCCTGGCTCACCCACCTCCAGGCGCGGCAGATCCGGGTCGAGCTGCGTGAAGCTATGAAGCACCACCGGACAGCTGTCGGGGACGCCCAGCTCCAGGCGCACGGCGTCCCAAACGCTACGGCTTCGCCGGGAGCCCGGAAACAGCGGCTCGGCGCCGCCCGTAGGCCCGACCGACTCGGCCCACATGTGCTGCACCATGAACGGGTCGCAGGCCGCGGCGCGGAACCCGGGGTGGCGCGGGCGCGGGGGGCCAGCCCTGCGCGCAGCGGGGGCGGCAGCGCGGCCCGCGCGGCTCGGCGCTGCCTGCGCTCTGAGCCCGCAGCCCGGCCCCCGCTGAGGTTAGACCGGAGGCGGAGTCCGCCTCGGGGCGGAGCCGACAATGCGGAGAAGCAGGGCGGGGAAAGAGAAGCGAGGATGGAACCAAGGGGCAGGGGGCGGAGCCAGGGAAGAGAGATAGATGTGAGGTGTATACATGTTGATGTGTGATGATGCAGCAGCTAAAGCCAAGCCCTGGAGGCAGGCAGACTATGCTGAATTCCAGTTGAGCCCCTCCTTGTGGCCCTCAAAAAGTTGCTCAACCTCTCGCAGCATCGGTTTCTTCATTTGGAAAACATGGAAAATGAAAATCACTTCCTCAAAGAGTTGTTGAATACATTACATTAGGTGATGGATGCAAGACACGGTGACCGGGTCTGGCAAGTACTGGAATTGTGTCCGTGTGCTCGTATATACATGTGCATTTGGAAATTCTGAGTGTTGTGTTGTGTGCTTGGTGTTAGGTTAAGGGGGAGTGTAGTATGTTACCCCATGTTCGGGTCTTTACCTGCACTATCTCTTTCCAGCACTAGAGCTACCATGAGAGGTAGATACAGTTAGAAAGAAGGCTGAAGAACAGAACTGGGGGAGAACGACACCAGATGCCTACAGAGATTCAAGGAGGGAGATAGACCTTTCCGCTAAATAAGGAGCTCTGGTAGTGTAGTGCTTACGAATCGGGTTGCGGACCTCACAGCCAGCAGTTCGAAACTACCAGCTGTTCCGCGGGAGAAAGATGAGGCTTTCTGCTCCCGTTAAGATTTACAGCCTCGGAAACCCTATACAGGGTCACTATGAGTCGGAACCGACTCCACGGCACATAACAACAACAAAATAAGATTGGCTCATAAAATAAGGAATATTACCAGCTAGTACTGTGCACGTTTAAAATGTCATCTACATGGAGTCCTGGTGTGGCATTGCAGGATAGTGCACCGGACTACAAGGTCAGTTTGGACCTCAAAGTCATTGGTTCCAAACTCACCATCCACACTCTTTGGAAACCTAGACAAGGTGCCTATGAGTCGGAACTGACTTGATGGCACTTAACAATAACATGAGACCAAATGGTCAACAATTACTCTAAAGCAAAGATGAAAGGGTAAGGGGGCAGGGGAGGAGGGAAAAAAAGAGGAAGGGCTCAAGAGTGACAAAGAAATGCCAGGTGAAGCACCTGGCCACCAGCACCCTTGGAACCCACTGTCTCAGGGCAGGGCAGGGTGGAGGTGAGGCTGCTGAGGAAAGGAAGGAGTAGCAGAGTTCTGGAGCCTCAGCCAATCTTCCCAGAAGCCAGAGAGGAAAGGAAGAGGGAGCCTGGAGGTTAACAGAGGGTCAAGAGAGGCATTTTAAAGATGTCTGTAGACGGGATGAATAAACAGGACTCATGCCTAATCCAATGGAGTCCTAGTGTGGTGCTGTCGGTTAATGCGCTGAACTGCTAAGTCAGTTTGAACCTCAAGGTCTGTGGTTCAAGCTCACCAGCCGCTCCTCAGAAAACCTATACAGGGTCACTGTGAGTTGGAACCGACTCAACAGCATTTGACAACAACATGCCTAACCCACTGCTGGGGCCTGCTCCAGTCTCAGCTCGTAGCCCTCAAAGGTCAGCACTGCCATTAGCAGCCCTGGCAATGCCACCAGCCTCCCCACAATCAGCCCCATACCCTCTGGGTCTCTGTTTCTCCATGTGTAAAATGAAGGGGCAGGGCCAGACTACACATTCCACAAGCATATTATTGTATGCCAGTGAGGCACTGTAGGTTCAGCACAGGACTGCGAACCACAAGGTCAGCAGTTCAAACCCACGAGCTGCTCCTCGGAAACTCTATATAGGGTCACTATGAGCTGGAATTGACTTGACGACACTTAACAACAACTATATGCCTATGCCAAACCTCAGATGTGTATGGACAGTGAGTCGCCAGAAATTTACATCCACTGGACATCCACCTGGGCTGCTTGAGCACATCCCTGGCAGTTTTAACAAAATGGGAGGCAAAATAATTTGACAGTTTATATTAAGAGTATTAAAATTGCTCATGCCTTTTGACCCACCCCTAGAAATGCATCTTACACAAGGATGTTTATGGAAGCATTGATTACACTGTCAAATTGAATGAACTGATGAACTGATTAAATAAATCAGGGGGTTGTAGGCTCCATACAAACCATAGGAGAGATACACTCTTTCATGTGTGATGCAGCCCAAGGCATCAGCTATGATTGGAAAGTAAGCATATGCATAAGACTAGGAGGACCTACTTCACAAGAGTAATGGTGGCTATTTTTGGGTGGGGCTAAGTGTGTTTTCCCTTCTTGTCTGAATTTTTTCAAATAAATATTTTTGGAACCAGAAACACACAATAAATGTGGAGAACCGTAAGGATGCAATGGGGTGGATTTGGCTTGGGGTGGGTGTTCCTGGGAGGCTTCCAGACCCAGGAGGGCGAGGTGAGATGAGTGGCAGCTCATTCCAAGGAAAGTCCTCAAAGGGCAACAAGATATTGACCCTTTGGCTTCAAACCTTCCTCCCATCCCTTAAAGGAGAATAAGCTCAGTGCTTCTGGGAATTCAGAACATGCTGAGTGAGCTGGGCAGCTGTTTGCTCTGCCTTCTCTTCATCTCTTTCTACAAGGGAAAGACCTGGGAAGCAAGCCCATATCCATTTTACAGCCAGGAAAGGGACCCATGAGGCCAAGTGACTTATGAAAGTACCAATGTCACCACCTTTCTGGTCCAGGGGAGCACAGGGCCCAAGGAGGCTGGAAAGGGGCTAGACTGGGTGGGGCGGGGGGAGGGCGTAGGGGGGAGGCATTAACCATCCTGGTGTGGTGCTATAGGAAAAACAGAAACCCTATACACGGTTGCTATGAGTCGGAACCGACTACGACACTTAACAACTTTTCCCCAGGAATCCTGGTGTGGCGCTGTAGGCTAAGACTGGACGGCTCCCGAAAGGTCAGTGGTCCAAAACCTTATACAAGTTCATGATGAGTCAGAATGGACTCAACGGCATTTATCCAAAAAAAGCTCCTCCCCAGACACAGCCAGCTAGGCTGCATCCCATCTAACTGCTGGGACAACTTATACATGGGGAGAGGTCCCATCATTTACTTAATCAGCTTCTCTGGTTGGTGTCTGTTTTGACAAAATCTCCGACCCTGCTAAGCCACACCCACCCACACACTCAGGTCCTAGCTCCCAGGATGGCAACATAGCATGGAGGGCAGGCTCTAGCATGGCAATGCCTGAGCTTGAATCTCAGCTCCACCCACTTCTTCCTTTGTCACCTCCCAGGAAAGCCACCTCACCTCCAAGTCAGCGTTTTCTCCTTTGTAAAGTGAGAATAATAAGGAGAACTAATGAAATGGCACAGATGAAGCACATACCATGTGGTACCTGGGCCCTAAGATCAAGGGAGCAGGTGATGCTGCCTTAAGGCCATTAGCAACAGGGGCTGGATTTCTGGGCACCTCCTACGTACAATCACTCTCTAGAGTATTTCAGTCCCTTAACCTCAAATCCTCCTAGAGTTGTACCTTCACCTGGTGGTAGAGTACAGCACCACTCAGGTCTGAAACCAAGCCCATCTCCACACAGAACGACCAGTTTGGGGGAGGTCCAGGGACAGAGGGCCATGGGAAGCATACCATGAGGATGCAATCAGCAAATCTCAGACTGTGGGGATCTCTACAAGACACACTACCCAGTGTCTCCAACAAATTTCAGGAGAAAAAAGTCAAGAAGGAAAGAGAAACTATAGATTAAATGAAAGGTAAGAGACAACCACTAAACACAATCTGTGGACTTTGGATTGTGATTTGAACAAGCCAACTGTTCTGAAAACAACAAAGAGATAGCAACACCCTGCACTTGCCCCTACCACCCTCTTTCCGTGTCGCCACAGTGGAGCACAAGAACATCCTGGCCTGTACTCCCAAGAGCATCAACAGAGCCGAGAAGATAGTGAAACTCCAGGTTCTTATCAGGTTGTGCTCCAAAGTCATCAGTTGGTTTCTAACCAGGATGATAAAGTTTGGTTACGTTGGTGAATCTGAAATCATTAATGATCACAGAGCTGGAAGAGTTGCTGTGAACCTCACAGGCTGATCTGCTCAGCCCCAGATCTGATGGGCTGCTCAATGACCTAAAAAAGTAGCAGAATACTCTGCTCACATCCAGTCAGTTTGGTTGCATTGTACTGACACCCTTAGCATGGACCAAGAGGAAGCAAGATGAAAACACACAGGAGGGAAAATCCTGGGATTCTTTTTCTAGGGATACTGTTGTTAAATGCTGTTGGGTCAGTTCCAACTCGTAGTGACCCTGTATAGGGTTTCTGAGGAGCAGCTGGTGGGTTTGAACTGCCAACCATGTGGTTCAAAGCTCAGTGTTGATCCTATAGGAGTCCAGGGATGTAATATGCTGTTTGTTGGTAAGTGCTATAGAGTCGGTTCCAACTCATAGTGAGCCTGTGATAGGGTTTCTGAGGAGTAGCTGGTGAGTTTGAACTGCTGACCTTGCAATTCAAACCAACCTTGCGGTCCAATGCTTATCCTACAGGAGGACTCCAGAGATGTAATATAGACATACAAATAAAATGCCTTGGGGTAGGGGGAGATGACGACAAAACTAAGAGGAAATGGGACTATTTAAACACTGCTAGATAGACACACTTCGTTTCTCATACTTTGGATATATTGTCAGGAGGGACCAGTCGCTGCAGAAGGATATCATGTTTGGTAAGGTGGAGGGTCAGAGAAAAAGAGGAAGACCCCCAACGAAATGGATTGGCCAAGTGGCAGCATCGATGGACTAAAGCGTGGCAACAGTTGTGAGGTTGGCCCAAGATCGGGCAGTGTTTCGTTCTGCTGTGCATAAGG